CCATATATATAAGTACAAGTTCGAAAATAAGTAGAAATGTCCCAAAAAAAAATTTTTTTTCCGTTTATTCAAGTTCCTTCCGCTTTGTCGGCGGTGGCGGTGGCCATTCGAAATAATTATGCGAAATATTAGCAAATGTTTTCTCCCTATCATTTACAAAAAAATAATTATATATTTATATATGTATTTTAATTGGTTTAACGACACGCGATGGTATCAGGGGCGCGAATTAATAATGCAAAAAAAAAAAAAAAAAAAAAAAAAAAAAAACAAGTCAGATCAAAAGTCTAAATGTTGAACTTTGGAAAATGGTTTTGAAAAAAAAAAAAAAAAAATATTGTTGTTTATTAACCAATAACCATATATAATTATTATTTCAATTAAAAATTCCATTCGATATTATTATTATTATTATTATTATTTTTTCAAAAATGTACATATATCCCATTTATTATAAACGTTTGAAAATAAGAGATAATAATAATAAAAGCACGAATTATTAATATTGTTGTCGGTTCGTATGTGTGAGTGAGTGAGACAGCAAGTATATACTTTAATAGAAAATTATCTCTCTCTCTCTCTCTCTCTCTCTCTCTCTATAATACTTTGCTAATCCTTATGGAATAATTTTAACCTTTTAATTAATTATCGAATAATGTAATGTGGGAAAAAAATTAAAGTTTTAAAGTTAAACTTGTTAATGGTTGATGTTATGATAGAGAGAGAGAGAGAGAGAGAGATTTTGTCGATTGATTGAAATGTGAAAATAAAAAGGAAAAAAAAGGAAAAAAAAAATTTGAATTTAAGGAAAAAAAAAAAAAAAAAAAAGGTGGTATTGGAAAAAGGTCAGAACGCAAGTCACCGCTTGAAGCTTTTTTTTAAAACCCGAGTCTCTCTCTGTTGTCTTGTATGAGGAGTTTCGCGTGCGTGTTTCGTGGGCGTGGGTGGTTTTTTTTTTTTCACTACATATATTTATATATTGTTTACATCAAATTCGAAAAATCCGTTGTGTTTTCCCCGTCCCTTCCCTCCCTTATTTTTTCGCATGCTGTGAATAAGTTTAATTTTTTTTTTTTTATTTTAAATTAAAAATCAAATGGATTTCAATGATAAAATTGTATTGGTCACCGGTGGTGCATCCGGAATCGGAAAATCGATCGCGGAAGAATTTTTAAAACACGGGTCCAAAGTAAGATTTAATAATAATAATAATAATAATAATAATTTTTTTAGGGTTAAATCGCTCGATTTTCAAAAAAAAAAAAAAATTTGTAAAATAAATGACATTTTATTTATTTGTCTTACCTTTACAGTTGGCTATTTGCGACATTAACGAAAAAGATGGCGAACTTTTATGCAAACACCTGACTGGAAAATACGGTAGAGACAAAGTTATATTTTGCGAATGTGACGTCACGGATTATACGCAATTCGAAGAAGCTTTCAACACTATAATGGAAACTTTTGGCGGACTCGATATCGTAATAAACAACGCCGGCGTTTTAAACGATCGATTGTGGGAATTGGAAGTTGACGTTAACTTGGTAAAAACAAACACACGATAATAATAATAATGATAATAATAGTAAAAGAGCCCCGAAAAATTTTTATTTACCTATTTATTTTTTTTTTTTTAGAATGGCGTCATTCGTGGCACATTATTGGCAATGCAATTCATGAGTCGGAAAAAAGGTGGACGGGGCGGAATCCTCGTTAATATCGGTTCGAATTGTAGTTTAAAACCGTATAGCAGTGCTCCCATTTATTCTGCTACGAAACACGCAATCATCGGTTTGACAAGAGCTTTTGGAGTAAGTTTAAAAAAAAATTAATGTAGAGCTTTCTCTCTCTCTCTCTCTCTCTCTCTCTCTCTCTCTCTCTCTCTCTCTAACAAAACCGTTTAAATATTTCAAGGTCGAATCAAGTCATTTCCTTTCGAGATAAACTCATGTATATAAACCGTCACTATCACAATTTGTTTTTGTGATTCAATTATGACAAATTTAATTTTTTTACAAGATGTCATTTGAAATGTCTGTCGTCTTCTTTGTTTTTTAGGATGCGTATCACTTAAATACGACAGGAATAAAAATTTTAGCTTTGTGTCCATCGGCGACAGAATCAAAATTAATCGGCGGCGACATTAGAAAACAGTTACTGTGGGAAGATTATGAAAAAATATGGAAACAAGATACGGTCAACGTCATACCACAAAAGTAAGCAAGCAGGGAATAATAATCTCATTAAATTTTTTTTTATTCGGATTTTATTTTTATTATTATTATCATTATTATTATTATAGTATTTCACATTTAGTGTCAACTTGAATAAAACTTTAAAGCCTTTAATGAAAAGAAGAGAGGGGGAAAAAAATTGTAATAAATTATGTATAACCCATTTAATATTATCTAATCGTTTGTATATATTTAATTCTACTTTATTATTATTATTATTATTAATTGTATTAATAATACGGGTCAAATTTATATCGTCTTTTTTTTTTCTCACTATCTATCTATTTGTTCTTATTTTTAAAAGAAAAAATAATGATAATGATAATGACACATTTATTATTATTATTATTATTATGTTTTTGATAAATGTGTCAGAATGTGATGCATACGAACATTTTTATTTTTATTTATTTAAACGAATTGTTTTGTTTGTTTGTTTGTTTAGGAGTGAATACGTTGCAAGATGTCTGTTACAAATTCTTCCGATTGCTCCTTCCGGTTCCGTTTGGTTAGTTGAAAATTCACTACCGCCACGACAAATTGACTACAATAGCAAAACTTAAAAAAAAAAAGGGATGATTGGATTTGTTGAAATCGAATAATGAATTACTATATATGCTTTACTAAAGAGAGAGAGAGTGAGAGAGGGAAAGGGAGAGTGAGAGAGAAAAAGGGAGAGAGTGAGAGGGAGGAAGAAAGAGAGAAAGAAGGATTTGTTAGGGTTTTTTTGTTTTAAATCAAGACAAAGGTGTCTCATTAATTATGGAGTAATAGAATAATAATAATAATAACAAGTGTAATATTTAATAATAATAATAATAATTATAATAATAATAATATTTGTAATATTATAAAGGGATTTTTTTTTGTTTTTTTTGCGCGCGCTATAAAAGTTACTTTGCAAAAAATTGTTTGCTTATCGTTTGTTACCAATTAGATTAATATAAAAATTATATTATTTATTATAAAAAAACATTTATAATGGGTTTTTATTAAAAAAAATTTTTTATATAAATTTTTACATGTTTTTTGTATAACATATATATAATCGACAAAAAAAATAAATAAAATAAATAAAATAAAATAAAAAATTTTTTTCTTTTTTGTTTAATTTGTTATTATTTGTGTTTTTATTATGCACTAAATTACCAATTTAAAAAATTTACAAAAAAGGGATGACAGGCAAAGTGTTTGTTTAAAAATAAATAAAAATGGCCGTTATTATTATTAATGTTATTAAAAATGCCCAAAAAAAAGAGGATTTATTTAGACAAAATAAAAATTATTTGATGATGAAAAAAAAAAATTATTTTCGTTGAGAAAGGAAAAGGTTTTATATTTTCATTGAAGAGAAATGTATAGAAAGGAAAGAAAAAAAAAATAGGGGATGAAAACAATTCTCCCCCTTTTTGTTTTGTTTTGTTCGGTATAGGAAATAGGAAAAAAAACCCCCAATAACAAACTCTCGTTGGCTTTTGAATAAAATGGAAAAAAAAAAAAAAAAAGGGAAGAGATAGAAAAGGAAGTCGTTTTATAACAAAGAGAGAGAGAGAGAGAGAGATAGAAATAGAATTTGCGCAAAACATCATTTTTCCATTTTCCATCGATTTTTTTCGCGCAGAAAATATATTTTGTGAAATGTAAGAAAGAAAGAAAAAAAAAATAAAAAAAAAAAAGGGCGGAGGACATTTTGTAAAAAAAAGTTTTTTTTGTATTTAATGATTACAAAAAAAAAAAAAGAAAAATTTTATGTGATTTCGATCGGAAAATTATAAATAAATAAAAAAGGGTTTTAATAATAATAATAATTATTATATAAATAAACGTTTCGTGTTTTATTATTATTATTATTATAAAAATGAATTCGTTATTAATTTGATTTCTATTTATGTTTTTTTTTTTTTTTTTGAATTTTTTTTCTCTCTCTTTCTCGGTTTCGTTAATAAAATTAAATGAAGGAAAAAAAAAAAGATTGTGAACGGTTAAAGTGAGTCTTCGGGGTAAGTGATAATAAATTAATAATTATAAATAGTTATAATAATAATAATAATAGTTAAATTTATTGATTTTTTAATAAGAAAAAAAAAAAAAAGATTTTCTTTTATTCAACGTTTTCTTTTAAAATATTTTTTTTTTAAAAAAAAGTTTTCACGTTGAATCCGACGTAATCCGTTTTCAACGGTTATTCTCGGTCGTTGTCGTCATCGTTGTCGTCATCATCGTCGTCGTTGTTTTAAATAAAAAATCGTTTATTTTATTTATTATTATTATTTATTAATTTATTTTTTAAAAAAAAATGTGAAATGTCGTCGTCGTCATCGTTTTGTGATTTAATAAAATTAAAAATTTTTTATAAAAAAAATTTAACATCTCGAAGGAAATAGAGTAATAAAAAAAAAAAAAATATCCCGCGGCCATTTGTGTGTTCTATTATTTAGTAAAGGGGTTGGGTTAATCGATGACAGTCTTACTTAAAATGGCTAATTATTATTATTATTATTATTTTGAAATTATTAAATCGTGATTTATTATTTATTAAGTTATTTATTTATTTATTTAATTTAAATTTAATGTAGTATTATTATTATTATTTATTTTCATCAAAGTTCTTTTACTCGTACACAGATATCGTTATTTTCGTTTCTTCGTATTTACTTTGCAGGTCAGTGATCTTTATTATTATTATTTACCTTTCCCTCATTTCTTTTTTTTTTTTTTTTTTTTCCTTTCCTTTCTTTCTTTCTTTCATTCTTTCTTTTATTTTTTATTATTTTGTTCACATTCAAGTTTTCTGGAATGTTTTTTATGTATTAACTTTTTTTTTTTTAATTTATTTAAAGTTTATAAAAGGTTTGGGTGCACGGTTTAAATAATATATATTATAATAATTATAAACATTTATTTTAAAAAAGAAAATTATTATTATTATTATCAATCGATATTTAATATGATGATGTTATTATTCGGATTTGAAAGGTAAAAAAAAAAATTAGAACAATCTTTCATCTTACATTCTCCGTTTGTTGTTGTTGTCGTTTTACTATCCGGTAATAAAAAAAGTGGAATAAAAAAAAAAAAAAACAATTTAATATGAATTCATTTAATTAAATTTATTAAATATAAATTTATTTATTTATTTATTTATTTATTATTAAAGTAAAGTGAACATTTGAGTGTGATTATTTTAAATATTATTATTATTATTAAAAAATATTTATATTGAAAATCAAAGCATAATGTCTAGACAACACTATTGCTTAAGGTGGAATAATTATCAGTCGAATATGACTTCTGTTTTTCATCAGTTGCTACAAACTGAATCTTTTGTTGATGTGACATTATCATGCAATGATTCATCATTAAAAGCACACAAGGTAAGTTAAAATTTATTTTATTTAATAAAAAAAAAAAAAAAAAAAAAGAAAAATTTTAAATGTATACAAATTATGTTATATCAAGTTTATGTATGTATGTAGGTCGAATTGAAATCATTAATCCTATTCTCGTGAGAAAGTTTTTTTTTGTTTTTTAAAATTCTTTCTATCATTACTTACTATTTTGAATGTTTTTTTTTTTTTATAATAATATAAATATATTTATAATTGAATTTATAACAAATTGATGTGCAAGATGCGGTGTAAAAAAAAAAAAATTGTAGAGGAAGTATTTCGTTTAAAACGAGAAAAAATTTCATCTTATCGCTTGCTTATATTTTTTTTGTTTTTTTTTTTTTTTTCGCTTGCTTGTTATTAACTTTTTTCTTACTTTTTAGGTTGTTTTATCTGCTTGTTCATCATATTTTCAAAAATTGCTGATGCAAAATCCTTGTAATCATCCTACAATCATCATGCCACCAGATGTACCTTTCAATGATCTCAAAATAATCATTGATTTTGTTTACAGAGGAGAGATTGATGTTGATCAAACTCAACTTCAGGTTATTTTCATTTACTTTTTGAATGGTTTTTTTTTTTTTTTTTTTTTTTTTCGTTTTAGTTAATTCATTTTTTTGTTTTATTATTTAGTTTATTTTTTGTTTTATTTTTGTTTTTTTTTTACCCTTTACCCCCTACCCCCCTACCTTAGCTCGAAAAATTTTTTTTTTATCGACTCTTTAGGTAAACATGTACATATATAAATATTGTAAATATTATTATTATCGACTTAACAAATTTATTAATTTTAATAATCTGTAACTGCATCTTCTTATTAAAAAAACAAAATCTTATTATGTGATATGTCATCTGTGATAAAAACAATTATTGTACATTTTTTTTATCATTAAGTTATCAGCTAATAATCTCGAGAGAAATTTTATTCGAAATGAATTAAATAAATTTAATTAATTTTTTTTTTTTCTCGATAAAAATAATAATAATAATTATTTGTACAAAGCGATTAACATGACAATTTCCTTTGTAAAAATAACATAAACTAAGATAAGATAATAATAATAATAATAATAATTTTTTAAAAGCATCGATTAATATAATTATAAATTAAAATGATAATTACGAATGCTAAAAAAAAAAAATTTATTTATTAATCAAACAGTTAGGAAACCTGTACAAAAATAATAATAATAATAATTTCCTTTCATATTTCTTATTATCATTTCATATCTTACTTTTTTATTTTTATAATAATAGTTTTTTATGTTTTGTTTTTATTTATTTATTTATTTTTTGTTTTTTAATTTTTATTTATTTATTTATATATATTTTTCTAATTTGTTTGTGATGGTGTGTACTTCTATTTGTAATTGACAAAAATTTTTTTTTTAAAAAAATGGTGTAAATTGAAGTAAAAATTAACTTTTTATAAGATTTTTTTTGAAAAAAAAAAAAAGAATTCAATATAATTTTATTTTAAAAAGAAAAATAGCCTAAATTTGGTAGTTTTCCTTGGTTATTTTTCCTTCAAGATTACACCATTTGTATTGTCATTTGGTGAATCATTTCATCCTATGCCTGTTTCCTTTTTTTTTTTTTTTTATATAATTGAACTTTATATTAAACAAATTTCGGGTTTTCATCTTTGTTTTTCCTTTAAAAATGATGAAAGATCATATATATTGTATATTTTGGTTGTATTAATAATAAAAACCCTTTTAATATGAACAATAATAATAATAATAATAATAAATGGGGCACATTTTGTATGGTTTGTTTGTTTGTTTGTTTGTTTGGGCTTGGCATATTTTTCCTTGATAATTCAGTATAAAAAAAAATTTTATTTTTTATTATTATTATTAATTTAAAAAAAAAAAAATAAAAAATAAAATTTTTCTATTTGCTTTTAATTTGAAATTAATTTAAATATCATGTTTTTATATATATATACCATCATCACTTATTTTTTTTTTTTTTTTTTGTCATATGAATTTGTTTATTGTTCATAATATATATGATTGATTGATATTGAAATGCATTTTTTTTTAAAATAGATTTTATTTTAATTTTTTGGATACTCATTTGTTTTTCTTTTCTTTACAGTCAATACTGAAGACGGCTGACCAACTTAAAATAAAAGGACTTTGTGAGGTACCTGACGGAAGTTGCGTTAGCGAAGTGGAAAACATATCCTCCGAATTTAAAACTCCAATTAATTTACTCTCTTCGGATTATCAAACTGAAGAGAGTAATAAAACATATAATTATGGTAATGTCGTCCAACAAACAGGTTAGAAAAAATGATAAGTTTTTCATTTGTTACAATAAAGTTTCATTTATCTAATTGTTTTGTTTTTCATATTCCAGGACAAGAAAATTTTGTTGCAGTGAAACAAACAATATTTACCGGTACACCGGACAATCAAAATTCACAAGTAAAACGTCACACTACCAAAAGGTATAAAAGTTCAGGTTTCAACTTAATGTTGATGTAAATTGATTGATGTGATATGCCTAAATAAAAAAAATTTTCAGGAAAAATTCACCTTTGACTGCCACTACGGGTAGTGGTAGAAATAGTCCAGTATCAAAAAAAGGAACTTCAATGTTGAAAAAACCCACACTCAAAGACAGGGCAGTACAAAGTGATTTTTCTGACGGGAGCGGTATGAACATACCTGAAAATGGTATCGAACAAACCTCTGAAGTTCAGAACCAAACCACTGGAAGTATTAGTGATCCTGTAAGACATGAACCACAAGTATGGCGTTGGGTACATATTTTTCTAGGACAAGGCTTTATATGTTGTTTTAACCCAATAACCACCCCAATCCTTTCTTAACTTATATTTTTATAATGTTTTCATTTATTATTTTGTACATAAAAAAAAGTAAAAAGTCATTAATTTTATTTATTTATTTTATTATAATGCTTTAAAATTGTACATGCATGATGGTTGACTCTTTCTGTGGCTTCTTATTTATTTCTCTGTTTTTTAAAATATTAATAAAAATTTAATTTTAGATTCAAAGTAATGGTGAAAGAGTTCCTGAATGCATAACAGTCGCAACTTCTACGGAAGAAGATCAGAAAAATGTACCCGTCGTTATATTGGAACGATCGGTTGCAACGGTACCCATGATAGTCCATAATATGCCTACTTCATTATCACCCCAAATGGTTGTAGAAGGGAACAGTAATAATAGGTGGGGTGACATATTAATTTATGATGATAGAAAAAAAAAAAAATCATATTTTGTTCTGATTGTTTTTTTTTTTACATTAATTTTCATGTTAGTGTTCAAAATTCTGTTGATCATACGCCTCCCGAAGTGGATATTCCTCCAGAAGCTCAACCTCCGGCTCCCAGTGCTACATTAGTAGAAAATTTAGATCTTAACGAACAACAAGAAGCAGAAACCGCCGAACCTGATGAAGATGATAATGATAATGTGAAAGTTAAATTTGAAACACTTAGGTCGGTTGATCAAAGTGGAGATGCTGTTGATATAGATGGTCATATATCGGAAAGGGTTATTATTATTATTATTTTTTTTTTTGTTAAAGTTTAACGGTTTTTTTAAAACTTATTTTAAAAATTTTGTTGTTGTTTAGAATCAAGATGAATCGGAATCGATGCAAACAATGATGATCACACCTGAATTACTTGGCCTTTTTCCTACATCCTCGGGAAACTCAGGTAAATATATATATTTACATACAGGTATATTTTGATAAATTGTTTTTGTCAAAATATTTTAATTATTAAGCGTTTAATGATTATATTAAAGTCTATCGAAAATATTATGACTTAGATGGAGGAGAATCAGATATTAAGGGTACTAAAAATTGGACGCAAGACGACATGGAATTAGCATTAGACGCTTTAAGAAATCACAATATGTCTTTAACGAAGGCATCATCGACGTATGGTATACCGAGCACGACATTGTGGCAAAGAGCACATAGATTAGGTATAGATACCCCGAAAAAAGAAGGGAATACAAAAAACTGGACGGAAGATAATTTAAATAGTGCCCTTGAAGCTCTCAGAACGGGAACGATATCGGCCAATAAAGCTAGTAAAGCTTACGGTATGCAGCATTATACCTAAAAAAAAAAAAATGAGACGTTTTAATGCCAGGTATATACAATTGAGCATAATCAATTAATTTTTTAGGTATTCCGAGTAGTACCTTATATAAAATAGCTAGAAGAGAAGGTATAAGACTTGCTGCACCCTTTAATGCAGCTCCAACGACGTGGACTCAGGATGATTTAGAAAGAGCTTTAGAATCAATAAGGTCTGGGCAAGCAAGCGTTCAAAGAGCGTCCACAGAATTTGGTATTCCAACAGGTAACTTTTAAACATTTTAAACAAAAAAAAAAAAAAATTATAAACAATTTTTTTGCCTAAAAGAAAACTTTGTTAATTTAATAGGGACGCTGTACGGACGTTGCAAAAGAGAAGGAATCGAATTAAGTCGTAGTAATCCAACGCCTTGGAGTGAAGATGCCATGGGGGAGGCTTTAGAAGCTGTCAGGTAATTTACATTTCAAATAATTTTTATGTTTAAAAAGGGATGAAATGACATTTTTTTTCGGTAAATATTTTCAAGGGTCGGTCAAATGAGTATAAATCAAGCCGCGATACATTATAATTTACCATATTCATCTTTGTACGGTCGTTTTAAAAGGGGTAAATTCGATACCGAAGATGGTAACAGTAATAATGGGGATCCTACCGGAAATCAAATGATGTTGATCAATTATCAACAGGAAATGCATCCATATCACAGCGGGAGTTGAAAGTTGCTTAAAACTGAGCCACAGGAAAGGGTTTTAGATATAAATTAAACTCGGCTCAGTTTTTTATTATAATAATAAATTAATGTAAATAAAAAATTGTTTCATAAAATAATAAAAAAAATTTAAAAAAAAAAAAAAAAATCTGTTGAAAAATGTAATGACTTTAACAAAAAAAAAGGGAAAAAAAAATTTTAGGCCCAAATATAATTTTCGGTCAGGTACTTTACAAAATTTTCTTACTGATACAATCCAGGATTTATTTATATTATGTACATTAAAGAAAAAAAATTAATATATTTAAAAAAAAAAAAAAAAAACGAGATAATAATAATAATAATAGATTTTTATATTACTGAAAATAAATGTAAATTTTATTAGTTGATAAGTTTTAAAAAAACACAAATCATTACAAAAATTAAAAAACAAAACTAATGCCTGGATTTGTGCCATTTTTATCTGAATATATTAAAAAAATATTTTTAATGCATTACATTTTATAGTACAAAGTTCTCCCCCCGCCCCCGCCTCCCACACTTTATTTTTGTGTTTTTCTCTCTCTCTCTATAAAAAGAATTCCCCCCTTCATTCGATCTCAATTTATTTTTTTCTTTTTATTTTAAAATAAAACTTTATTTATTTATTGATTGTAATATATTTATATTATTTTATTTATTTATTTATTTAAAAAAAAAATGTAGAACTATAAATTTTTTTAAAATTTATTTCTAAGCATTTAAATTTTATTCGGTCCACAAAAACTTATAGTCGAAAAAAAAAAAACTTTTTCGACAGGTGAATGTGATTATGCTAAATAATGTACTGATTAGAACTAAGAAATTGAATTAAATATTTAACATTATAAATAATAATACTAATAATGATAATAATAATAATAATTGTTAAAAGATTTTGTTTTATTTTATTTAAATAAAATTGTGTAAATATATATATATATATCACTTTGATTAGTTTTTTTTTTTTTTTCGTGAGAGAATTCGTAATAAGGAAACTTGAGCTAACTATGACCCATGAAGGATTTGTAAAATAAAAAAAAAAAAAAAACAGATTTTAGAAAAGTAATTATTGTATTTAATTTAGATAAAAATAATAATAATAAATTGATTAAATAACATAAAATGATATAAAATAATTAATTAATTTTTTTTTTAGATTTTAAAAATGTATACAAGATAATTTAAATTTTTTTTCGAGAAAAAAAATGTTAGTAATATATATATATTTTTTAAAAAAATTTAATGAAATTTTAAAATAAAAATTTTTGATTAATTTTTATAAAAAAAAAAAACTTCATTAAGAACATTTCAAATTTTGTATTTACTGAATTTACTTTTTAAAATGATTAATGTATATTACAATTAATTCAAGTAATTTTTTATTTAAAAAAAAAAAGAAAAGAAGCATACATAAACTTTAAGTTTAAATAATAAATTTGTGTTCGGATATTTGACAATTCATACTGTTACATATATCACAAAGATTATCATCATCACACATCAAATCGATTATAATTTTATTATTTGTTTCAATTTCATCACATGCTTTATTGTAACAATCAATTATTTCTTCTTTATATAAATTTAAATAACTCAGTATATCAATGTATTTCTTAACGGTTTCCATCATTTCTAAATAATTGGGTTTATTTTCAAGGAATATTTTGTCTTCCGGACTCAAATAATTTTCAACGTCGCTCTTGTTTATAACCAATGATTCAATTTTAAATTTTTCTTCGAGTACTTCACACACTTTTTTTTTCTCTTGATAAATTTTACTCCAGTCTTCTTTTTCCTTCAACAGTGAGTCGAGGTATGACTTGGCCGAATATTGAGTTTTTTTTACAGAATCATTTTCATCACCGAAAATATTATTAAGGGTTAATGATTTACGACTAACGTCTACAAATGATTTACGACGGCTATTGTTTTCCATATTTAAAAATAAAGTTTTGGGAGAAAAACACAAACGATTCCAGTAAAGTAGTTTATTTTAATTTGTATACATAGGGCATTTTATAGTAATGAAATTAATTAATTAAACATTTTAGAGTTTTACAGAACTTAGTACTTTATAAAGTATCACTAGAAGTATAATATGGGCTAAATTAACTTTAAAAAAAAATCTTATAATCGAATGTTATTTTTAATAATAATACATAAATTTATTGTTGTTATTGAATCAGTTTGTAAAAAAACATTGACGTGGTTTTAGATTTTAAAATAGCGGGAATAGTAGTAGTTGAATAATTTTTTTGTAGATAAGCTGTCCTATTTCATTTCATTTATTATCGAAATTAATTTTTTTTTAGCAGTTTTTTTTTTTTTTTAAACATACAGCAAATAATTAATTTGATTAAAGATAAAAATAAATGTTTTAATTATAGTAACTCGTTGTAAATTCATGTTTACATCGCGGCCTGCTAGATAGTGTTACTGTGTAAAGAGCATATGAGCAGAAATTGTGCAAAACAATGGTTGAAGCGTCAGAAGTGTTTACTAAATTCACAAAAAAATATTTATTTTTATTTGATGTTGAATGTGATTAGCATTTTTAATGGGTTAGGGCAATTAAAAGGCATTTTATGTTAAACGGGTAATGATTAGTAATAACGCAACAATTAAATTAAAACCGTTAAAGGCTTCACACGAGTTGGATTCTGAAAGTGAAGTCGTGAGTAAGGGACAAGGATCTGTTCGTGAAGGACCAGAAGGCGATTTTAAGCGACCGCCTTTTGGTTCTCGCGACTCGTATAATTCAAGAACCGTTTTATCTAATAAAGACCGAGAAAAAAAGGATTTTCGACCTGGCAGTCGAAGCAAATACAGAGATGAACGAACGGCAAGAGGCGGTTCCTACAGATGTGGAAACCCAAGAAGTGGTCGTAGTGGAGGTACTTTTTCTTCTGATTCACGAAAAAATATAAAAATCATAGATTCTTCTTTGCCATCTCAAAAATATGAATGCTCAAAAGATTCTTCTAAAACAGGAATTGGAAAACTTTATGATGGGTCAGATGTGATTTCCAAACCTAAAACTGACTTGGCTAATTTATTAGTTTTAGATGATTGCAGAATTTCAAAAGTGTTAAGACGTTTATCAAGGGAAGATGATCCTGAAAAATTCATGTTACTTGCCAAACAACTGCAGGTTATTATTATTATTATTATTTTTTTTTTATATTAAAATCAAAGTTTGCATTTAATAAGTTTAGTTAGTAAAGTACAGGAGAAATTATTAACTCATTCATATTTTTCACTCTTTTGAAAGTCACAACATTAATTGCGATATTTAGGAAGTGTTCTTATTGTTTTTGTAAATTTTAAATTGTAATGTAACCATATTTTTCTACTAACCGAATATTACTATAATATTTGTTTTTATTTTTATTTTTATAATGTTATCTATATAAATTTTACTTAGGCAACTGTGTGTGTTAATAAAAACTTATTTTTAGGAAAGCATAATGTTACCTGAAAATAGTAGTTACATTAGGCATTCTTTTGATTCTATTGCTGAATCACTATTTGATTTATTACATATATCTCCAAATAGTATTGCTAAATTGGAATCTGCAAAATGCCTTGGAAAAGTCGGCTATGCTTTAGAGAACAATTTTAAAAAGTTTTTAGAATGGATTTTCGATAAGTTTGGAAGTGAAAGAAATGATGATGTGAGAGTTTTACTTATGAAATCATTACTAGAAACATTAACATTAGAAAAAGAAAGACCAGTTTTAAAGGAATTTTCAACTGTATGTTTTTAATATATATTTTTTTGAAAATAATTTTTGTATTTTAGCTTCTATTAACCTAATACAGTTTATACGATTTTTTTTTAGAGTTTAATGGAACAAATGAAAATAGCTTTGGAATCTACAGATTTACCAGATTTATTGATTGCATCTGTTGAAGTTATATTAGTTTTAATTGAAATTTATCCTGATTGCTTTCACAAACATTTTCGAGATACAGTAGATATATTAGTCGGATGGGGCTTAAGTTTAATGCAGCCTAATTCGTTAATTAATTTCGCAGTTGAAAGTTTAAAAAAATTAGAAATTTATTGGTTATCCGAATATGCTTTTGCCATGAGTTTACTCAAGCAATTTTTGGAAGACACAGAAGGATATTTAGATGTAAGTTTCATATTCATCAGCTTTTAAATCGACTAATTGCAATTATTCAATGAGTAACATTTTTTTTTTTGTTAATATCGTATATATGAAATATTTGCTGATTTTAGGATCTTCAAGCGGCTGTTTCTTATCAAGAATCAGCAGATATAAGTCCTCCAGCGACATCGATTGCCATAATGATAGGGCTATTGAAAATATTTAACACTGTGACCAGTTGTGTCGCAGAAAAAATGATGAATTCTGAATATTTAGCAACTTACATAACAAAGATGTTGAGTGTGGTCACAAAAGCTATTATTCTCGTAAAGGATGACAGCCTTATTAGAACAGGTAAAGATTTCTAAACTGAAATTCGTTGCTAATTATTTTACTTAATAAACGTCACGTATTTTTGTAGCCAACGTAGGAACTGCTCTTTTATTAAGTCAGTTACATTGTAGAAGTCATGCAGCTAATCAACTTGTATTAGAGTTTGTTAAAACTCAACTTGTTTTAATGGAGCAATTTGAAGAAGAAACTATTTTATCTTCCATTCAGTTTATAACAAAAGTGATTCAAGAATTGGGATCAACACTTTCACCTGATTTTGCCACGTTACTACTTGGTCCTGGATCGCACATGTCGAAATTAAAATACTCCAATTCTGAACTTATCTTGGGTAGTTTGGTTTTGTTGTATCAAACGTTACTCGGAGAAAGTTTGTTGCAAAATGAAATATTTGGGTAAATTACAATTTTTATCGTTTTTACTTAAATACGATAATTAAATTTTATTTTTTTAATAATAATTTATTAATTTTTTTTCGGTAAACAATGTTTTAGATATATATTTTCCGACTTGAGAGCAGCTTTTGATGATTTGACGACTCCCAATATCAATGATCAGTATGAAAAATTAAAAAGGGCCGAGGCCGTCGCCATGTTTCATTTGGAAGTTTTATCTGCTTTTAAACCCAATAAAATAGCTTTCGACATTTTGTTAGAAATGAATCCTTCGTGTGTCGAATTGTCCAAAAATAGTCCTTTGGCACAACATGCTTTACTGTGGTTAATATACGTTCATTCTTCCATGTAAAAATCATTTATTTAAAAAAAATTCTAACGAGTACTACCGACAAAACATTGTTTATAATAATTTTTTGTATTTCATTTTCAGATATCATCATTTCGTATCGAGTAGTAATTTACTTATTATCGGTGGTGGTATTCCGATCCAAGATTATTTCACTCTTATATTAAAATTAATCACAGATTTATTAAAACAGAGATTGAGCGTTGATACGGTCGATTTGGTGTTACGTTGGTGTGAAGAAATAGTAGTGGAATCACGTCCGTATATTTCGACCCTTATTTTAACGCAAGAATTTCGATGTTTTTTAGGAGGTTTATGCCGTATTGGAAAATATCCATTTAGTGACAAAATAATATTAAAAGTTTGCTTTTGTTTCGAATTACTCATATCAAGTTCCGATATAATATTTCAGGTATTTTATAAAAAAAAAAAATTTATTTATTTATTTATTTATTTTTTTTTTTTGTTGACTTTAATTATTTAATTTTATTATTTAATTTTTAAAAAATTTCAATTTCCTTTTTTAAGTGTGATTTATTCAATGAGCTTCTTCAATTATGCATTTACCAACAGAATTCGTTAAATAATGAAGTAGCCGAAAGGTATTCACAACTTTTATTAAATATACCCATTGAAAAAACTTTGAAAGCGGTAAAAGCTTTAGAAAGTGATAAATTAAAAAAAAAAACTCGTTTCCGTCCCATAAAGGATATACTTAGGAACTATTTTAGTAAAGGAACGTACGGTTATATGGAAACTAGAGATTTTGCTAAATTTACCGAGTATATTTTACAGGAAACGAAACGTAGGTAAGACTTTTTAAATTAAAAACTCCGTCAAGGTAATTTAATTTACTTTAGTTTAGGTGGTAATTTAAAAATTGAAAATTTTATTTAAAAAAATTTTTTTTTTCACTTTAAGTAATACCGAATGGCTAAAAGATATGTTTTTGGAATGTTATCCGTTGCAACTTCAAAATCCCACGACGTCCGAACACGAACAATGGTTAGAAATGAAACAAGTTTGTTTGGAAAATAACGAAGCTCTACTACCTTGGGCATGTTGGGAAGCCGCTCAATTATGCGTTCTCAACAAATTAAGAACTCCTTTGGGAAAACCCCCGGAAACGTTTACAGCGATAGAATTGGCTTTAAGAGAATTAGCCAGGCAAACGAAAATGTCTGATGTATCTACCGAGAGAAATTTCGATGCCATCGCTGGGTTCGCGAGAGCAAGAGTTTTATTAGAATTTATGGAATATCTGGAAAAGGTTAAAAAATGTATATGTTTATATATGCGTCTTGAAATTTTGTTTCCTTTTTTAAAATTTTCAACCGTTTGTTTTTTTTTTTTTTTTTTTTTTTTTTGTAACACTCGTAATCTTTTAAAATTTTCTTCGTGTTTTTATACGTAGATTATGTACAATGCTTCCGAAGGAACCGCATCCGCTTTATTAGCTCCGCCGAAAAATGTCAGAACGTTTTTTCATGCCAACAAAGGAACTTGCGCATCTTGGCTCAATCGGATCAGATTAGTAATTATAGTCGTAGCCATGCATTCAGGACAATCCACGTTGGCCGTAAGGAGCGGTCAGTGTTTGTTAAACGAACTTATGGAATCTAGAAATTCACAGGCAAAAAAATATTTTAATTTATTTTTTTTTAAAAAAAATTCACGTATTGTAATTTGTAAAATGAATTTTTGCAGAGTCAAGAATTTGAAGTGGCTGTAATGTACACGGCGTGGGGATTACTTAGTTTAAAAGAAAGTGAAGCTATAACTGGTTTATACGTGTGGTGCCGACAAGAGGGGGATCGAAAGTTTACCTGGCTAAAGGCGATGGCAGATCACGCCGGTGAAAGGTGTCAATTTTTCCTTTTTTTTTACATCAGTACGCAGTTTCAGATTTATATACTAACGTATTTTTGTTTTAGGTTCGAATTAGCGGCCGAAAGTTATAAAGCAATACTCTTGGATGAGCATAATAATAAATCATCTCCCATGCACGATCCTCTTAAATTATCCGAACCGTCTTCTAGTCCAATAAAACAAATAAAATCTTCAACTTTGCTCATTGTGAAGCATTTCTTACACGATTGCCTCGTGGATTGTTACAAAAAAACCAACGATTTTGAAAATCTTAAATTGTGGATTGACAACGCCGACGAAATTATCAAGGACGAATCCGTTATTAAAAATGGAACCCATTTCGAAAGATTTTATCATCATTATAGTAAAAAATCCGACATTAATTTTATTAAATCGATACAGGATATTGTCGATAATAAAACCGTCAAATATCGATCTAGAAATGATAAATTACCTTTGGGAGATGCATTTTTGCCTCCGGATCATTGCGATCCGACCGCGGTGAATGATTTCAATGTATTTTCGCCATTTTCAAATATACAATACATAGACACGTCAATATTAGAAGCTAAAATCAGTTACGTTCAAAACGATTACGATGAGCATTGTAAGAAAACATTGGCAAGTCTTTGCGATTGGGCGCAAATAGGAAAACATTCGGAATTGTTTGAATTGAAAACTTGGAGTTGCTATCACATTTTGGAAAATCTTAAAAATATATTAGTTAAAAATTGCGTTTTGATAAATGTCGGAAAGAATTTGGAAAATAATTCATGCGTTTTTCACATGAATGAAAACAATACGATAGAAATCGATTTGCATTTTAAACTGCTCCTTGAAAAATGGGGAGTTAGAAACTACGGATTCGAATTATCGAAAATATTAAAGGAAATAAAAGAAAATTATGTGAAAAACAAAGACAGCATACGGGAAGTCGTTAAAACGTGTTCGGATGCCGTAAACGTTTTGATGAGAGAAAATTTGAGGAGCGGAAACGATGAGCTTTCGCAGGAAACCATGATTCTCAATTACGTTTGTAAATATTTATTAAACGATTTAAATCACGTGGAAAATAAAAAATTTAAAATTGTGGAAAAATTTTCGTCCGACGTTTTATTATCGATCGGATTTTGGAAAAAATTATTGAATGAAGAAGATGTTAATTTGAGCATCGTTAAAAGTGCTCGAAAAGAAGGGAATTACAATTTATCGAAAAGAGCGTTACTTTGGTATTTCGATAAAGAAAATATCGACAAGAGTTTAATCGATATAAGTCGAGATTTAATCGAAAATTTCGATCGCGATTTGAGACACGAAGAAGGGGAATTGTGTTTGCAAGTGGCAAAATTGTTGTACAGGTGACAATTTTTTTTTTTTTTTTTTTTCAATAAGAAATATAAGAATCTTAATGTTTTACATAAATAATTAATTTTTTTCCAGTACGGGAGCTCATTCTAGTGCCATTGATTTAGCTTCTTTGTCCGCTTTGAAATTAATTCGACCCGATAATAGTTTGGAACATAAAAAAACGGGTTCGAGAATTCTGTTGACACTTGCGAAATGGTTACAGCGCGAAACGGTCAACGAAGACTATTCAAATTTACAAATGCCCATAAATTACAATTTGATTGACATTCACGAAACTGCCAGTAGCGGTCTTGACGTTTTGATGATGCCTTGTATGTAAATAAATTTTTATGTAATTGTTTAAAAAATTTTTTTTTTTTTTTTTTCAAATCACAATTTATAGTTACGCTCACAATTTTTCTTTGTTACAGTCAATTCGGTCAATAATCAAAAAGTTATTCCCGATTCTGATATGGTTATCGGAAGAATACTTTCCATGAGCGTTTCCCATTGTCCCAGTTTGGCAAAAACGTGGTCTTATTACGCGGCTTGGTGTTACAGGCACGATTTAATTTTTGAAATTTTATTTTTTTAATAGTTTAAACGGGTTTTTTAACGGTTTTCTAATTGCACTTTGCAGGTGGGGAAGAAAAGTAGTGGATGTTGCATCTCGAGCGGGTGGATCTCTATCAGGATTGGATATTGTAAAAATTAAACAGGTTTTGCCTTACGAAACGACTGAAGCTCAACTCGAGGAAATAATAATGATTTTAAGTCAGACAAGAGCTGTTGCCGACGAAGATAACATTGAGGCAATATAAAAAATTTTTTATGTTTCGAGTTGGTATTTGCGCGACTGATTTTTATCGACAATTTAATTTTTTTCGTTAGGCTGAAAATTTAAATACGTCAGAAATGATAATGAATCAGTTGCAAAGCGTACCTGTTTTGGCAACGGCTTCGCATGAAGTGCTAGCAATATTGATAGAAATTTGGAGAGATGCACAGAGTCGAATTTATTCAGGATTTCACAAAGCAGCTCAGGCTTATTTTAAATACCTACAATTAAGTTCACTTAACGAGGTAATGTGGATTGAGTACTTATTAAAAAAACTTGAATGTTTAATGAATTTTAATTGTTTTTTTTTTTTTTTTTTTTGGATTTAGAGTGATGATTGTTATACAATAACGGCAACGTTACGAATTCTTCGTTTATTAGTAAAATACGCGTTAGAACTTCAAGCTATTTTAGAAGAAGAACTTCCGAGAACACCCACGCGACCGTGGCAGTGCATAATACCTCAGTTATTTTCGAGATTGAATCACCCGGAAGCTTACGTACGAAAAAGAGTATCGGAACTTCTTTGCAGAATAGCTGAAGTATCGCAAAATTTGATTACGTTTCCGGCTGTAGTCGGGTGTTCAGCCGGAGGAGCGAGACGTATTTCAGATATAAATACATCTACTTCCAGTAAGTCAATCATGTTTCCTAAAAAAAAAAAAAAAAAAAAAAAAAAAAGCAGAAAATTTAGAAAATTTTAGTTCAATTTAAATTTTATTTCCAGAATTATTTGGCACGTGTTTATCACAGATGAGTGGTGAAGGAGACGGCGAAGAGGATGACGAGGAAGAGGAAGAAGATGAAGAAAATTCAGCTGTAGTTGCCAATCAGGGTTCCGTTTTAACCAATTGTTTTCAATCAATGGTCGATACATTGTCGAAGCAGGTAAGTTAACATAACATTCATTTTTTTTTTAAGGGTACCTTTTATGATTATTTTTTAAAAAATGTAGTTTTATTTTAGGCTCCGGCGGCTATTTCTCAAGTGCAAACATTCGTGTCGGAATTGAGACGAATAACACTTTTGTGGGATGAATTGTGGTTGGGAACTCTAAATCAACATCATACGGAATTAAATAGACGATTGACACAACTCGAACAAGAAGTTATTCGCGTTGAAAATAATTCTTCGTTGACGAATTTTGAAAAAATCGCTTTAATTGCGGAAAAACACAGAATTATTTTAAAACCGGTTCGTCATTTAACTCCTACGCATTTATCATCACCTGATTTATTAATTATAGTTTACACGATTTGTATACCTTTTATATTTTATACTAATTTTTATTTCTTATATTTTCAGGTTGTATTTATTCTCGAACAATTGCATTCTATCACTTCCGTCCCGCCGCAAACTCCCCACGAAACATGGTTTCAAGAAAAATTTGGGAGTTCTATAAAAATTGCATTGGAAAAACTTAAAAATCCGGCTGATCCTAGAAAACCAATGGAATCGTGGCATTCGTTTAAAGCCGTTCATGCAAAATTACAAAAGGTAAAAAATATTTCTCGGAAAAATTTACAAAAAAAAAAAGGTCTTTAAAATTTTACTAATGTTGACTAATTCTTTTAGAAAAGAGCTTGTTCTTCTTTAAAAATGGAAATAATTAGTCCAATATTGGCGAGCATGAAAGATACGGCCATTACCATGCCCGGAGTAACATCTTCACCGGGTCGAATGATAACGATAACTTCAATCGACAATAGCATAATAGTTCTTCCGACAAAAACAAAACCGAAAAAATTGGTCTTTCACGGAAGTGACGGAAACACGTAAATATTTTTTTTAAAAAATAAATTCACTTGTAATTTATTTAAGAACTGTCATTTTAATTAAATTTCAAGTTTTAAATTTAAATTTTCAGGTACACTTACCTATTTAAAGGTTTGGAAGACTTGCATTTAGACGAAAGGATTATGCAGTTTTTAACCATTTCCAACACTATGATGGCTTCAAGCGGAGACGCGACATATCAAGCCAGACATTACTCTGTTACTCCTTTGGGACCCAGGAGCGGTCTCATTTCGTGGGTCGATAAAGTCACTCCTTTATTTTTTCTATATAAAAAATGGCAGCAAAGAGACAGTTTTAATTCTTCGTCTAAACAAGGATCCGCTGCCAACTCTGGTTGGTTTTTTTTTTTTTTTTTTTTTTTTTTTTATATGTAAAATGTTATAAAAAATAAAGGTAATTTTCGTTTAGGTCACACGACCATGCGTCCGTCGGAATTATTTTACGCCAAATTAAGTCCTCTTTTGAAAGAAGCCGGAATCCATATTGAAAATAGAAAAGAATGGCCTTTGTCTATATTGAAAAAAGTCTTGCAAGAACTCATGTCCGAAACTCCGAAAGATTTATTAGCCAAGTAAGGATCGATTAAACTTTATTATTATTATTATTATTATTTAATCCGACGTAAAAAACTATAATAATAATAATAATAATAATAACAAATTTTTCTTTTTTTTTTACAGAGAGCTTTGGTGCACGAGTACGAACGCTGACGAATGGTGGCTGGCAACGAAAAGATATTGTCGAAGCGTTGCCGTCATGTCTGTCATTGGTTACATAATCGGATTGGGCGACAGACATTTGGATAACGTTTTAATCGATTTATCGACGGGAGAGGTACTTTATATATTATACCCATATGTAAAAAATTTAAAATAAAATTATACTGTTATTATTAATATTATTTTGTATTTTCAGATGGTTCATATCGATTATAATATTTGTTTCGAAAAGGGGAAAACGTTGAGGGTTCCGGAAAAGGTGCCATTTAGAATGACGCAGAATATAAAAACTGCACTCGGAGTGAGCGGGATCGAGGTAAGTTGTTTATTTATTTATTTATTTTATTCGTAACGGTTTTTTTTTTTAAAAAGTCGTTATAACTAAATCGAATCAATTACAAACGTTTTTTTTTTTTAATTTGTACTAAAAGGATTTAATCGGGTTTTAATCGAGTTTTTTTTTTTCTCGTTACAAAATCATTTAAATTTTTTCGATGCAATTATTTGTTTTATTCGTCGTCGTTGTCGTTGTCGTTGTCGTTGTCTGTGTCGTCGTGGCATTAGATGAATTTTTAACGTTTCTCCTCGCGTTTAAACCCGATAAAAGTTCGAAAGCATCTCCGTCGGCCGTTTTACATTTTAATATTTTTCCAAACGATTTTTTAAATTCTTGATTTTTCCACGCGTAAATAATCGGATTGACTGCGGAATTTGCAATGGCTAAAGAATTGGCTATTTTATACACTATGGACGTCGTTTTCGTGTAATGTTGAAAAAGCGAATTTAATATTAATATGATTATGAATGGCATGTACGATATCGTGAAACTTCCTATGACTAGCATGAGAACCTGAAAAATAATAATAATATTAATTCCGCGTATTTCTTTTTTGGAGAGGGGGTTCGATATGTCGTACGAGTTTCGAATTTTGTCGCGAAGGATTGAAAAGGTTGATTGGTAATGATCCATCATTAAATACCTGTACGGATTTCCAAGTATCGGGCGGATCGTTTTCCGCGTGTCGCATCCTTTTCGTGTGTTTCCTCGTTTCCGTGAATATTTTTATGTAAAATCCCCACATAATGGTAAATAGTAAAAAACAACTGGGAAGGTAAATGGTTTTGACGTAGAGGGGCACGACGACGTAGCCGAATTCGCATTTTCCTTTCCACTTGTTTTCTTCTACGTTTTCCTCCCACTTGTTCCAAAAAACGGGAGTTATGGACAGAGAGGTAGCGAGTGCCCAAGATGTGATTACGATACTTCTGGCGAATCTAAAATCGAATATCACGTGTTCACAATTTTTTTGGAAATATATTTCCTAATACCACGAGTCAATACTGTCATGGGGAGGGGGGAGGGGGAGGGGGCTTTCTTTCTTCTGTCAACTTGACTACGATAATTAGTTAATTTTGACAGTTTTGACATGCACGAATTAGTTCGATGATCTTCTTAATGACTCTCTCAGTTCTTGTCACCACGCCCAAGTAAAAAAAAAAAAATTAATAGTAATACGAAATAATTGAGAAATCGTGAATGGTATTGAATTCGATCTCGTGCACGCCACATTTTACAAAATTCGTTATTATTATTATTATTACCTTCGGGAAATTTTTTTTTTTTTTACCTTTTCGTCATGAATTTATTATAGTGCAATGGATAGACGATGGCCAAAAATCTATCTATGGCTATTCCAATTATGTTCAAAACGCTCGCCGTGCACGCGAACGTCAATAGAGCAAGTCGAGCGATGCACAATCCGAAATCTTGTCCCATCGTGGGCCTTATGTAAAACATCATGTGATAGGGTAAAACGGTGCCGACGAACAAATCGGAAAATGCTAGTGATAAGATGAATTGATTCGACATGAGGGAAAATAATCTTCGGTTCATGAGTATGGCAACGATGGTGAGAACGTTTCCGGAAACGATGGATAAAAATAAAAATCCATCGATGAGAGCCCAGAAAACGACTTGATCCGTTAGGATCGTCGTGGGATCTTGGGGGCCGGCCTTGTCGTAGTCGTCGTTCAATGTCGTTTGAAGAGAGTAAATTTCTTCCGTGGTATTAAAATTGATGGGCATGTAGGTCATGTTAAAACGTACGAGTTCCTTCATTTTTTTTTTTTTTCTTGAAAAAATTACGTTTTGCGGTCCTCTCGAATCATGCCATTGAAATCATCATTATTATTATTTGGCGATGAAGTGGGTCGATTAAAAATAATAATAATAATAATAATAATAATAATATTTATCCATTTTTCTTGTACTTTCGTATACCCTTCGTATCTCTTCGTAATGCATTTATCACCAACTCTATCATTTATATTTGCCTGAAAAATAAATCATAATAATAATATTTTAATATTTTGCGAGAGGTTAAAGGATTGCGGGAGGGGGGTGGGGAGGGATCGATTTTCTTTTTCGTTTCAGTGTGGTGAGAAAGAAAGAAAGAGAGAGAGAGAGAGAGAGAAAAAAAATTTTTTTTAATTATTATTATTATTATTTTAAAGCGTAGAAATATTATGACGGAGTCAAAATAATTTTTTTTTTTTTTAATTATTTAAGAGTAACGACTGACTGACCTTTTCGAATACCACTTTCAAAAAAAAAAAAAAAAAAAAAAAAAATTAATATTTAATTTAATTTAATTTAAAAAGTTTAAGGTCAAGTGAAGAAGAAGAAAAAAATTTTTTAAAATTTATTTTTGCATTCCGATATTGATTTTAAAAAAAAAAATTCTTTTTTTTTTTTTCAACATGTTGTTGCATTTAAAATTAAAAATAAAAATTTGACTCCGTTTAATTTTGTCAAAATATTATTATTATTATTATTAATTTAAGTTTAAATCGATAAATTACGTCACGATACGTTTGTGTGTGTAAGTTATGACCGAAATATAAAGTTGTTAAAGGGGAGGGAGGAGGAGAGGGAGGGAAAAATAAAGTTTTTGCTGTAATTATTGACGTTGGTATTAGTGTTAGTATTATTATTATTATTATTACTACTCTTTTATTTTCGCGAATAAAAAAAAAATACCGAATGCGATTAACACGCACGCACTCACGCACAGAGAGAGAGAGAAACAGAGAGAGAGAGAGAGAAACAGGCAATACAAGTTTACGAGGGAGGGGGTTAAGTTTAAAAATTTTGTACAAACGAGTTCATTATTTTTTAAAAGGTTCGCACACAAAGGTTAACCGAACGAAGGGGGATGGGAGGGAAACAAGGCCCCCCCAATCGTGCGGGATTCGCACGAATTTTTTTTTTTTTTTTTTTTTTTTTTCTTACACAAAAAAAAATCATTGCCGAGATTAGAATAAACCGTTTATTTGCTTCCCGATTTGTCGAATCGCGAATATAAAAAATAATAATAATAATAATAAAGTGGATTTTTTATTCGCGAGGGCTCACCCTAAATTTAGAAATTTTTTCGTTTTTCGTTTTTTTTTTTTACCTTGAAATAAACGAATTTAAATGTTAGAAAACCAGTAAAAAAAAAAAAAAAAGTTAATCAAGGACAAGGTTTCGAATATATTTTTCCCACCCAAGCCCATTATTTGCTTTTTTTTTTTTTTAAGGAAGAATAAATAATCATTTTTAGGTATCGGTACTCGTTCCGAATCGAGTAATCTACTACCTGTTTTATTTTTTTATTACTATTTAACCTTACACAACACACTCACGCACACACACACTCACACGCACATTCTTACACGTGATTATTTGAACGTATTAAAAAAAAAAAAAAATGGAAATTTTTCTTAGTAAAATGCATTTCGATATCATCATCATCATTATTATTATTATTAATAGTAATTCCAATAAAAAATTTTTAATGCGAACAAACAAGGAGATGGATAGAATATTTAGATTTTTCCCTTTGGAATGGAGAATTTATTAATGGAGGACTCGTTGTCCTACTTGTTATTATTATTATTATTATTATTATTTATTTATTTATTTATTTATTTATTTATATTTCTCGGATTTCAATGAGGATTAATAATAATGCATGGATTTTGGGGATTTTATTTACACACACACACACACAACTCGAAGTTTTTAAATTTTTCTATTCGGTTCAAGTGCGTAAGTGAGTGCGTAAGTGCGTGCGTGAGTGCGTGAGTGCGTAAACGTTGTCAATTAACATAATAAAACTCGGGTAAATAAATTTGACCGCACATAAATAAAAAAAAGAAGAAATTGTTAACAAATACACATACATTGTTTCCTAATTGAAATCTTTAACGATTATTAAGCGCGCGTTAAAATGTCTGCGAAGAGACAAAAATCGCTAAAAAAAAAAAATAAAAAAAAAAAACTTATCTCATTTGCGGTTAATTATTTAAAACAAATTATTAATAATATTAATAATAATAATAATAATAATAATAATTATCAATTTAAATGCGTAAAAAAAACTGGAAAATGTTTGTTTAAATAATTTCCAGGTTAAATTTGTTACGATATATAGTTAATAAAATCAATTTGATGGAAATTCAAACCTTAAATTTATTTATTTGTTATTAAATGTTGTTTTATGCACCTTTTCTTTTTTTTTTTTTTTTGTTTATTATGGCAAAATGGATAACTTATGGTCTTTGTAGTTGTAGTTGTAGTTTTAGTTGTTGTAGTATTACACAAAAGTTAAAATCACACACACACGCGACAAAAATTATATTTTCGATATATTATTATTATTATTATTATTACTACGAACACCCCCGTAGTTATGACTTCACTTCACTTTAACCACCTTTTATTATTATTATTATTATCAAAACTAAAAATTTTTTTTTTATTGGATTTAGATAAAAACTAATAAAAAAAAAGAAAAAAAAACAATATTAAACAACAAGTTTGTTGTTGTTGTTGTTGTTGCGTTGGGTTAAAAGCGCACGAGTCATTCTCGTTTTACGTTTTAACTTCATGAATATTCCATAGGCCGGTTCAATCGCCAACCGACAACTGATCATTTTCTTTTTTTATTTAATAATAATAATAATAATAATACCACCACTAAAGAAAAGAGATTCGATGTTGATTTGATTTGATTCTTACCATCATTCAATTTATTAAATTGTAATTAAAATTTAAATTATAAAAATAAATAAATAAATAACGGTTTTTTTTTTTTTTTTCCTATAAACTTGTACGATTTGTTGCTGTCGTTGCCATTTTAAAAAAAAAATTTTCTGTCGATTTTTTCAGGGTCAATTTCGAATCGCTTGCGAGCACGTTTTAAAAATCGTTAAAAAGGGAAGAGACACCCTGTTGCCACTTTTGGAAGCTTTCGTTTACGATCCGCTCATCGATTGGACACCCGGAAGTGAAACCGGATACACCGGTGAGCCTCAATTTAAAACTCATTAGATGTGTTTTTGTTTTTATCGTAATTATATTAATTGTTTGTGTTTGTAGGAGCCGTGTACGGAGGAGGAGAAGCTATACTTAAAGAAGCTAAACAAAGTAGGAAAGCATTGGAACGAGAAGTGACAAAAGCCATGTTTGTCGTACGAGTAACGGAAATGAAAGCGGAATGGTTAGAAAATAGGTAATGAGAAAGAAAGAAAAAGAAAAGAATTTTGCTACCATCGTCTTAAAAATAATAATATTTTAACGCGTTGATGATTATTTTGTGTAGGGATCAGATAATTAACGTCATACCAAAAGTTGTCAAACATTTGAAAGAATATTTGAAAAAATGTCAGGAATTAAAAGAAGCCGAAGAAAATTTGGCGGATTCGCATCAGCAAATGGCTTTGGTAAAGGAAGCAGAGGCTCAGGGTCACAAACATCCGCTTTTTCATTTGGCGTCAAGGTGTTCGGTTTTACTTAGAGCCAAAGGAGCACGCAATGCCACGATGAAATTGCTTAAGGATAAAATTGAAGACTATAACAAGGACATAAATAATTACATGGTTGGTACCGATTCACGATGATGATGTCCTTTTCGTTCAAATCTCTCGATTGGCGAAAATTTTTTTTAATTAAAATTTTTTTTTATTTTAGGCTGCTTTATCGTACGTGAAAGGAGAAATGTTGTCGCATTGGATCAAACAACTCAGCACCAAATTGTATCCTGATAGTTTTCAAACTTTTGATTTGGTAAAAGAATTTCTTCAAACTGCGGGACAAAGCAACATGGTGACTCAGGTACAATTCAAAACTATAATTATTGTCAATTATTTGTTTTTTTTTTTTTTTTTTTTTTTTTTTCAAGTAATAATTTTAAAAGTAAATCATTGGAAAAAAAACCCTCAAATTTCAATATCACACTCGTTATAAGTTTAAGGAGGTTTTTAATTTATTTAAAAAAAAAAAAAAAAATTAGAGTAAATTGTTTAACGTTGTTGTGTTATTATTAAACTTTTTAATTACCTTCTAAACTTATAAATTTTTTAAAAATAATTATTAAGAATAATTTGAGCGTGTACTTACGTATTTTTCGACCAGAAAAAAAGTTAGCTTTAAGTACAATTTAAAGTAAAATAATAATCGCGTTTGATAGATTTTAAATCGATATTAAATATTAAATAATTTTTTTTTTTTTTTTTGCAGTGCGATCAAACGGAATCAGAAGTGGGACAATTGGATAAACAACAGCGACAGATAACGAGGAATTGTGTCGACCTTCTAGGAGAATATGCTGGACTCATCGCTCTTTATCCTAGTTCTTTTGAAAATCACAGATCTTTTAAATATAAAATGTGGACGCAACGATTAATCGATAATATGAATGTTGAAGTGTAAATTTTTATTATTTATTTTCGTTACAAAAAATTAATAATTTATGGTACTAAAAAAAAATTTTATTATTTTTTTTTTTTTTTGAATTTCAGTTGCAGAAGCGTCATGTCCGAATTTCAAAAAACTTACGGAGTCGAACGTCCCAATTGTCAAGTGACGGCCAAACAAATCATGGCATATACATTTTCACTGCAAGGTGCCATAACCGAAGCGCAAAATAAATTAAGTAAATGTTTGGAAAGAATGCAAAGCGAAGGATTACCCGAAGCTCGAGTCAAATACGAACAAAGTTATCAGGAAATAAAAGAAAGAATCGTCGAATTTGCTAAGAGTGATAAAAAATCAGGGCTCGCTGTTGAATTGGTGACATTGACCGGATTGTGTGCCATCAATCGAAGGTTCATACAAATGGAAGTCGCTGCCAAAAGTACAATTTTCACCATTACTACCAATTACTGCTTAGTTTTAAAACACTCGGCGAATTTAATTTAATTTTTTTAATTAAACAGGTGCGGAAGAGGAATTGGTCGGGATGAGGTTGAAAGAGGGACAGGGATGGCTGGAAGAAATGTATGTCGTCAGCGGTTTAATTAACGATATGACTTCTCAATTGCCGACTCAATCCGCCGTTACGAACTCTAACGCTGACACCACCGTCGAATCCGTCATCGGATGCCTTAAAAAAGCTCACAATATTTTTCACAGTTTGCTGGTATTTATCAATTATAATTTTTACTTTCGATTATTTCGAGTCGTAATTCAAAAAAAAAAAAATTGTTTTTTTTTTTTTTAATTTTAGGAGCTAAATTATAATTTTCATTCTATTATTTTACCGGAAGCGTTAAAATGGATGCAAACCGAGCACCCTGATATGTTGTCGATGGTAGAAGAACTCGATGATATCGTAAAGGGTTCCGGAGTGACTTTAGACGAATTGCAAAAACAATTGAAATTGCATTTACGTTGTCTCATAATGGGAATGAAAGTGAGCATTTTATACTAATTAAAAAATCAACCTTCCCCGAAGAAATAGCGTCGTGTATTTATTTATTTATTTATTTATTATTATTTTTTCCCAAGTCCCCCCACAGTGATGTTCAGGCTACCGTGTCTCTCCTCAGAATGAGATTCGAAATGCTTTTGCAAAGGCCATGCACTGATGCGACCAAATCTCCGGGACAAATGCTCCTCATGGGTTTCAATGGTCTCTTTGAAAAATTACAAGTCGAAAGAAGTCAATTGACTTCGACGCTTTGCGCTTTGTCGACTCCGCCATCGTGGAAAAAAGTCGATCAGTTACGAGAAGCTAACATGCTTACGGTAATCTAAAAAAATTTCTTTTCGTATCAATGCTCCCTAAACCATCGTAACTTACCAAATTTACAAATTTTCAGGCTTTGGTTTTGAACGAAGCTACGAGAAGCGTAACGGAGGATATATTTTTAGTAAAAAGAATTCAGACGATGCAAGAATTTTTCCAATTGTGTAACCAAGCTGGTAAAGCTTTCAGAGGTGTCGGAGCACCCGTCGTACATGACGATGAGAGATTAAATAAACCGATTAGAAGATTTACGGCGGAATATGTGTCTCGCACAATGCTGGGCGTCACGTCTCAGACACTTGCCATATCATTATGCTTTTTGTTGGAAAGATTAGGACTTAATGTCACCGGTGAGTTGCATTGTACTTGCCTCTTGTTCATGTCTGTCGTGACGTATGTGGTTTATTATATCTATGAACTTAGTTTTGACTCATTATTCCTGTTTATTTTTGTTTACAGGAGAAATTGAAGATCGAGACGTTAGCTTGGATGGAAAAATGCCTTTGGAGGATTTGTGTCGCAGAGCTATTGACGTTTCGTTGCATAAAAATTTAACAACCAATCATGCCGTATCTCAAGCGTCATCATTGTCGAATGCTTTGCAAGGTGTATACAGACAAAAAGAAAAGGCGGCTTTGATTATGCAAAATGCCGATTCGAAAAATTTTTGTCTAACGAGATTGCAAGTTCTTTTGACGGCTCACAGTTGGTACCACGAGGACATATTGCAGGAATCGTTCACGACGAATTTAACGACGTTAAGTAAGTTTATGTCTTGATTGTTGTAAAAACCGTTCGGTGCAGTGTAAAAAATCAATTAAAAAATTTTAGATCGATCGTCGTTTATGACCAAAGTAAGGAAATCCTCATCGTCTCTGATGCTATTGCAACCGAAATTGAGAGAGGCAAGAGAGCTTCAAAAAACCCTTATAGGAAACGTAGAGCAACGTTTGAAATGGGCAGCGGGAGCAAATCCGGCGGTTCACGAAGTGATGGCTGCCTTCGAATCATCCGTCAAGCAATTGGATAAAAGATTAGACGAAGATCAAGCTTTGGCAACCGTCGTGGCGAATACTTGTGCATCCATATTGAGACACGAAGCTTTGAGAACGAGAACTTCGGAGGCTTTGTCCAACGACGAGGCCATGCAAAAAGTAACTTTTTTTTTTTTTTTTTTTAATAAAAATTAAAAATTTCGACAAACGCGATTACGAAATTTATTAATTTTTTAGATAATCGAACAATGTGAGGAAAGTTGTGCGTGGTTAGCCGGTTGTACGGAATACGTTTCCCCCGCAGAAGAGAGTTTGTTGCAATTAATGACTCCGGATTATGCAAACGATCCCAAACGTTTACAAAAATTAGAAGCAAAAATATCAGGTAATCATAAAATGTTAGAAAAAATATGTTTAGACAAATTCCAGACATTTTTTTTTTTTTTTTTTTTTTTTTTTTTTTTTTTAATAGAAAATATCGAATCGATGAAATCAGGGATTTCAATGCTTGGAGAATCGTTGGTTGCATCAAAACAAAATTACGAATTGAAACTCCATAAGTTAAAACAATTATTATCAAATTATCATTCCCTGATGACGGAAGTTAGACATTTATTAAAATCCATGGCCAGGGTAAGTCCCGTTATTTTCCCGGAAAATTTTCAATTTTCCAATTTTCACATTAAATTAAATTTAATTTTTTTTGTACGATGGATAGTACGACGAATTCAGTTGCTCTGGATTGCCGCAGTTTTTCGAAAAATACAGGAGTTTTTCCGAAGAGATAGGTTCCCTTGGGAAACAACTCTCCGTACCGGATGTCGAACATTCAACTTACGAAATTGAAAATGCTATTTCCGTTCTTCAAGGACTCCCCGAAAAAATAGGTTATTTCATTGAACGCATGTTTTTTTTTTTTTTACTTAAAACTGGTGGGGGGGGGGTTTAATTATTATTATTATTTTTTTATTTTATTTTTTTTTTTGTTTTCCAGTTGAAATTTACGATGAATTAATTGGCTTCGCTAATGAAAAAAGTTTTAAGGAAAATGCAAACAACGGAGGATTGAATAAAAGGCAATCTGCTTTGGGTCAAGAAGTTTTACCCAAAAGCACCAATCGGGATCCTAGAACGGGAAAAGGTACGTGTAAGGTATTTTTTCTTCCTTAAGGAAGAAGTTTAAAAGGTGATTGACGTTGGGTTTTTTTTTTTCTTATTGCAGCCGTTCAAGAAAGAAATGCGTATGCAATGAACGTTTGGCGCCGAATACAAATGAAACTTGAGGGTAGAGATCCTGATCCTGGAAGAAGGTGTACCGTTCACGAGCAGGTACGTTATACCCGAAACGGGGAAAAGATTTAACAATCGAGAGAAATTTTAAATTTAAAATTTTTTTTTTTTTTTTTATCTCGCGACTTTATAGATTGATTACATAATAAGGGAAGCGACGAGCATGGACAACTTAGCTTTATTATACGAGGGTTGGACGCCTTGGGTTTGAAGAGATGCAAAAATGATTTTTTTGGGTCCAAGTTCAATTGAAAAAAAGAAAAAACTCTCGTATGTGAGGTTATTCCTTATGACAAGAGAGAGAAAGAAGAACAGGTGAAGAAGAAGATTTCAAGTTGTTGACACACACAAACACAAACACACACACACACAGACAGACAGACAGACAGGGGGAGAAGCCCTCCATGAAGGGCGTCGCCTGGAACGACTTTTTTTTTTTTTTTTTTTTTTTTTTATTAATAAAAACCGAGTCGTTCTATAAATTATCATAAAAATCATAAAAAAAAAAAAAAAAGTAAAAAAAAGTTTGTTTGAAAAAAAAATAATTTGGTAAAATTGATAGACAGAAACACACACACACAATATCATTATTAATAAAGATAATTCTCAGAAGATGAAGAATAATAATAATAATAATAATAATAATAATAATAATAACTTCGCTTTCACTTAATGCAGCAGCAGCAGCAACAGCAGCATGCATGCATGTCCTCAGAAGTAGAAAGAGAAAGAGAGAGAGAAAAAAGATTCTTTATTCTTTAATTTTTTTCTAAGATTTCAACCAACGCATAAAAACGCGATAATGTCAGAGGCGGTTTAATTACAAAACAAACAAACAAACAAACAAACAATGGCCGCGAATATAAAAAATTTTTGAAAAAAATTAGATTTAAAAAAATTTTTTTTTTTTTTACTCTCGAAGAACAATTTTAAATTTTTATTTATAAAAAGGAATCGATTAATTTTCGGCTTTAAATGCTCTTTCTTCTTTGTTTTCATTCAGTCATTCATTCATTCATTCATTCATTCATTCATTTCAATCGAAATCAACAAAACGAAATTATTATTATTATTATTATTTCTATTTTTTTTTTAAAAATGAACTTTTGAGGCGTGAAAGAATCAAAATTAAAGAAAAATAAAAAAAAAAAAAAAAAAAAACTATAAAAAACTAAAACTAAAAAAAGGTTTATTTAGGGAAACCATCGTTTCCGGAAAAATTTTTATTTTTTATAATTAAAAGTGAAAGGGAAGGAAAAATTTCATCAGGTAGAAATTAAAAATGGCGGGAAAAAAGGGGAGAAGAAAAAGAGAAGAAAAAATTTTTTAGATGAGTTTTTTTCTTTTCTCTCTCTCTCTCTCTCTCTCTCTCCCTCTCATTATATTATTTCTTTGTCTCTCAATAATCAAATTTTATTTCAACGATAATAATAATAATAATAATGATAAAAATTTATACTTTTTTATGGTAAAAAAGAAACCAACCAATGGGTAGAAAGAAAAATAAAATAAAATAAAATAAAATAAATAGAAAAAAAATTTAAATTTTTTATTTTTTATTTTTATTTTTAATTTTAAATTTTTTTTTGTTTTTTTTTTTTTTTTTTTTTTTAAATTTTAAATGGACGGCGACATATTTGTTTTTTTTTTTTTTTTTTTTTTTTTAAACAAAGTCATAAATTTGAGAATATCTAACTAACAATAATTTTAGTAATTTTAGTATAGATTTTCTGACAATAAAAAAAAAAAAAAATCCGAGAGGGGAAAATTAATAATAATAATAATAATAATAATAATAATTTTTTATTTAAATTTCTTAGTTTTTGATCCGATAACTACTGTCATATTTTCTTATTATTATTATTATTATTATTATTATTACTTGAGTGGTTCAAAAATTGAAATTTTTTATTTTTTATTATAAATTAATTTAAAATAAAATTTTATAAAAAAAAAATTTAAAAAAAAAGTCAGATCATAAAAAAGGGGGGGAAAAAAGCAAAAAAAAAAAAAAAAAAAAATTAACTCATCATATATTATTATTATTATTATTAGTTTGTTGTTATTATTATTATTATTATTTTCTTCTTATTTTTATTTAGTTTTATTTTATTTAATTCTTTTTTTTTTTTTTTTGTTTTTTCTTTTATTCCTTTTTTTTAAAAGATGGAAAAATCTGGGTTGAAATTTTTATTATTATTATTAATTTTGTTTTTTTTTTTTTTTTAATTTATTACTAATAATGGGTATTTTATTTAATTACAATATAATTGGTTAAAAACTAAATTACGATATTAATTAAAAATATTATTTTTTAATTTTTAAAATTTATATTTTTAAGTCATCTCTTGATTCTTATGTAAAACGTGGTGAATTTTTTTCTTTTTTTTTTTTTTTTTTTTTTTTTTTAATACAGTTTAGGGGTTGTTTAAAAAAGAATATACAATAAATATTAAAACAACAATAATCTGTTGTTATTATTATTATTATTTATTTTACGATTTTATTTCCTTTTCGATTACAAAAAAAAAAATTATTTTAAAAAATTAAATTTAACGGTTAATTAATACAAAATAAAAACGTTTCATTATTAAATTTTCAGTTGTTTAAATGTTGTGCGCCATTTTGATAAAATGATGTCACGTGATTTGTTAACAAAAATTTCAATGTTGGCAATCTCACGTTAGCAGACAGATATCACAATGGCGAAGAAAACGTATGACATGTTATTTAAATTTTTGTTAATAGGAGATTCCGGTGTAGGCAAAACTTGTATTTTATTTAGGTTTTCAGACAATGCGTTCACTACGACTTTCATATCAACAATAGGTAAGTTTATTTAATTAACTAACACTTGGATGTAAATATTTATTGTAAACAAAGTCTCGTAATCAACAGGGTGGGTTCTATAATTCTCGATCAAATCAAACATTATTATTATTATTATTATTATTATTATTATTATTATTACTTTAAATATACAATATATTGTGTTTTTTTTTTTTTTTTTTTTTTTTTATAAATTTTTTTAAATATTTCAAATTATTGTTATTTCACATGGAATATTTTATTTTATTTTTCACTGGTTTTTTTAAATTTAGATTTTTTACATTAGTTATTTTTTGGTTTTTCTTTTTTCTTTTTGAATTTAACAGTTTTTTAGAGGTTATCTTTTTTTTTTTTTTTTTTTTTTTTTGTTAGTTAAATGTGATTGACAGAGACAGTGTATTGTAATCCTAAATTGTCCTTGATCTGACTATTAATTTTTTTGACTCTTTTTAATTTATTTGAAAATATTTCTGTTGAAAATTTTTAGGTATATATATATATCATTTAACAAAAATATTCTTTTATTAAAAAAAAAAATAATAATTTTGTGTTCATTTAAATGTTAATTGAGTATCTTTTATTATTGGAAAACCTTTTTTTTTGTTTATTTCATACTAAAAAGAATTAAGTATTTAAAACAAAAACTCCTACTGTAGGTAATTTAGCGTTTTTTTGAAATTTCATTTTCGACAACTTACATTCTTACTTTTTGAAACGATTAAATTAACAAGTTTATTCATTTCCTCTTTTCTTTTTTTAACAATTTCAAATTTTAACATTGAATTTTTGGGCTTATTAATTAACAATATTAATTTTTTTCCTGCCTTCTCGTTTTTCTGTGTGTGTTCAATACGAAAATAATTGTCGAACAAGATTAAGTTTTTTCGAATAGTATTTCAAAAAAAAAAATTCCACATATATATATAAATACATTAATTTCAATTTAATTGTTTGATTTTTTTTAATGATAAAAATAGTATTATTATTACTCTGTAGTTTTGTTGTGTTACCATTCATGCTCTGTTTAGCTAAGTGAAACTTAATTACGATAATCACCGATTTTAAGTTTACTCGATTTTGTTGTCGCCAAATCCAATTAAATTTTAAACACCTTATCTTTTTATCGAAAAAAACTAATTAGAAATGAATTTATATTATTATTATTATTATTATTATTATTATTATTATTATCATCACACAAGCTAGCTATTTATCATTATTATTGATAATTAAAAAAAAAACCAAAACCAAAAGTAATATTTATCGAATTCCATTATATACAGTTTTTATTATCACGCTTTTAATTTTTTCAGTGCATTAAACTTTATTATTAAAAAAAAACTATTTTGTCAAATCGTAATAAGTAAATAAATATATATATATATATATATGCATATCAAATTAAAAGTGTGATTTTATGTAGGGGGTGGTGGGGGGGGTGGGCAATCAAAATTACTGTTTAAAAAAAAAACAAGTTTTAAAGTCAACTCTTTAATTACTCATTGATTTGATGTTAACCTTGAAATACTTAAATACATAAAACTAATCTATTTGTGAAAAAAAAAAAAAAAAAACTTTGACTTTTTAATTTTTACAATTATATATATCCAAAATTATCATTGAAAAGAATTATAATTGTGATTGTTTGTTTTAAAAAAAAAAAAAAATTTATAAAAGGTTTTTTTTTTTTTTTCAAGAGTTCAAAAGTTAAATCGAGTGGTGTAATAATAATTCTGTTAGTTTTTATTCGAAATCTTCATTGGCATAGGTAATTGTATACAAATGGTAGTGGTTTGCTTGTCGTTGATAACAAGTCATATTTTTATTAAAACAGAATGTGATCAGTTGAACTTATTAAATATATAATGGGTGAGGGTGGAGTAGTTAGTCTATGGATAAAATGAAATGTGTCGTTTAAATGTGAATTAAAAATTAAAAATTTTTTTTTTTTATTCGTTTACTTATTTTCATGCTAAAATATATTGAAAAAAAAAAAAAAATTAGGGCCCCACATTGCAAAAAAAAAAAAAAAAACTGTTTATTTTTTTCTCAATTTCATTCTTCAATAATTTATAAACGTAACAAATATCGATTTATTTTTGTTTTTGGGAGTGGGGGGGTGGGGGAGGGGGTTTTATTATCACGAATATACAAGAAAATTCAATAAATATTTCATCATTATCAATATTTAACATTTGTTATCATTTGTTTTTTTTTTTTTCATCTTATTCTTCTTGTTTCAATACATAACTACTTGAATTATATGCAAAATTATAATTTTCTCGATATCAAAAACTCAATAAAAAATAAAAAACTTGATAAATGGGAAAAAAATTTTTTTTTTGCTTGTTTTCAAACATTCCACGAAACGTTTTATTTTGATACAAACAAACAAACAAACAGCAAAAAAATCTATACATATAAATTAGCTGGTTCTCTCTCTCTCTCTCTCTCTATTTATAAATCTAATTTATAAAAGATTGAATTTTTTTTTTTTTTTTTTTTTTTTTTTATATACTACAAATGGATTATATTTGACGTCATTTTGTAACTTCCTAAATATTTATCTATCGCGTGGGAAGGAGTTACAATAAGCGTTTTTATATATTACCGGAAATAAATTTCTATTTAAAGTTTTTGTACGAACACGAAAAGGGAAGGAAAAATAAAATTCCCCCCTCCCCTCTCTCCCCCTCTTCATTTTCCCGATGTGGTGGTGGTGGGGATAGGAGGAAAACCTGTAAAAAAAAAAGTGTGGTAGGTTTTTAAGAGTTGCGTTCATTGCAAATGGTTATTTTACGATCAATTGATTGATTGTGGGCGTTTATAATTACCAATAATCGATAATTAAAAACACTACGAAGCGTAACAACCGATGACGTCTTAATATCCGTACAAAATATTAATTATTATTATTATTCTTGTCTGAACAAGTGATTGAACAAGTTAAAAGTGTTGTGTTTATTTTTATAGCAAAAAAAAAAAAAGAAGAAGCGTTTTGGATTAATATAAAAAGATTGTAACTACTACCGGGAAAAACTTTTTCCAACGGGTCAATAATTTTATTTAACCTTAATTACTTTAAATTATGAAATTTATTAATGTACATTATTCGATATACATGCCATGAGAGCAAAGTTTGTCTCTTTCTGTTTATTTTAATATCTATTTTATTTTAAATAATACAATGTGATGATGATAAAATTCTCTCTCTATCTCTCTCTCTCTCTCTCTCTCTCTCTCTCTCTCTCTCTCTCTCTCTCTCTCTCTCTATCTATTCGTCATTATTATTTTTTACTTTGTCCAGGACAAAGTAACTTTCTTCTGAAATGCAACTTTTATGTAATGTTAACACAGCACATTCTTAAATGCAAAATCAAGGTGGAGGAGAAGAAGGGAAGAAAAATTTTGGCGGTGGTGGTGGCCAATTTCTCAGAACGGGGATTATGTATAGGGTACCTTATATTTTGCGAACCTGTCTCCTTTTCACAGTGTATTTAACAGTTGAGATATTACGTACCTTAATGGAAATGTAATAAATGGATTTATTAAACAAAGAGGTCGACAACAACAACAACTTTTAGTTAACATTTGCGTATTATTATTTTTTTTTCGTATTTTCGGCTCTTTTTTTTTAGCACATTTCGAGAAGTATTAATGATTCTCTTTGTTCCCGTTTTCTCTCTCTCTCTCTCTCTGTCAGGTTTTTTTTTTTTTAGTTTTTCCATCCTTTAAATTATCGCATGAATGTAAATAAATATTATTCGTTATTCCCGTAGTAGTTCAAAAAGTTTTAAAATTGTGGTCGCGAAAGAAGAATAGACAAATATATTAATATTATTATTATTATTATTTGTTTTCAGGAATCGATTTTAAAATAAAAACAGTAGAATTACGTGGTAAAAAAATAAAATTACAAATATGGGACACGGCAGGTCAGGAAAGATTTCACACGATCACTACGTCATATTACAGAGGTGCCATGGGCATAATGCTCGTTTACGACATAACAAACGAAAGGAGTTTTAAAAACATTGTCAAATGGTTAAGAAACATTGACGAACATGCAAACGAAGATGTCGAAAAATTGATTTTGGGTAATAAATGTGATATGGAAGATAAAAGGATCGTGAGCAAGGAAAAGGGAGAAGAGGTAAGTGAAATCTCACGGGGGAAAAAAAAAAAAAATGATGGCGGTTCAATTAAAAATCGATAAAAAAAAAAAAATTTTTTTTTTTTTTTTTACGTAACCGTAATAATAATCGTTTTTTTTTTTTTTTAAACGGAAGGACGTGAAGAAAGCCTTGATAGTATTATTATCATTATTATTATCATCACGATCGTGAACATCATTATTATTATTATTATTATTATTATGAGTTTTTTTTATTACTTTTTAATTTTCTCGCGGATTTTTTTATCGATTATAAATAAAAATAAAGTTTTAATTTTTTTAAATTAAGAACTCATCGAAAAGTTAACTCGTCGATTATCATTTGTCGGTTTGGGGGGGGAGGAGGTGGGGAGGGGAAATACGTAATGATAACAAATAATTATCGAGAAAAAAAAAAGTTTATGTATGGATAAGAGATGACGTCACGAGTTTTCTTTCACTTTTTAAAAGACGCATTAAACAAAAAAAAAAAAAAGCAGTAGTAGTAATAGTAATAACAACAGTAATGGCGGAAACAGTAACGATTCAGTTCGTCGTGGCAGCAGCACTTGGGAGCCACGATGATGCCGCCATTCAATTAAAGGAAATTTATTAGAAGAAGAAACCATCCAGGAAAGATGGCACTATGTGGTACGGTCCACATTCTTCGGAAAATATTATAAATAGCACTAACGAAATTCGAGCATTTATCCCTAAGGAATCGGGTAGAAACCTGGAATAGATGAACTTGAAAATGTTGTCGTGTTTAAGAGTGACCGTAGTAATGGGGGAAAAAAATTGCAATGTCGTTTATTATTAGAGTGTGATGACGTAGAAGAAAAATTTTTTATTTTATTTATTTATCGTCTTGTACCTACCAACCTTGTACCTTTTTCTGTTTTTTTCGTTAAAAGTAGTCCCCCAAGTTTTTTTTTTTTTACTTATCTTAATTATTAGAAATTTTGGAACCTCTCAATTCAGAGCCTTGTTGTAATGTTAAGTGAAGGCTGCGAAGTCTCTCATTTCATTTGTTATTAGACGAATCATTAACTAAAAAATTTTAACTTTTTGTAAATTAAAAATGTCTCTCTCTCCCTCTCCCCCCCCCTCTCTCTTCTCTCTCTCTTTTTCTCTCTCGTTAAATTACGCGGAAAAAAAAAGAAAAATGAAAATTATATTGACGAGTGATTTTTCTTTAAATTCTCTGGAAAATAATTTCATCGTCATGTCGTTTTTTTTTCCTCCCGAATTTGACCTCGTGGAGTTCAAGGTCAGTGAAATAAACAAAGACAACAACAACAACAACAGAATCCAGCAGAAGGTTTATTAAAAATCTAATCCGATTTTAAATTAATGAAGAGAGAGAGAGAGAGAGAGAGAAAAAAAAAATGAGAATGATTTGAGCGATTTATAAATGACGTTAAATTAAAATGGGTGCAGTTTTGTTTATAAATAAATAAATAAATAAATTGTTGTTGTTGTTTTTCCATAAAAAATTATTATTATTATTATTATTATTAAATCATCACATTTTCTTTTTTTAGAAATGAACACGCGCGAGTAATTTATTTTATATCCTTCGTATAATTTACCTTTTACTATAAAAGACTTTAGAACGAAAATGATTTTTGTGCGATTTGTGTTTAGGCATTTGTTAATTTTTTATTTTTATTTTTTGCAGATTAGTAGGGAGCACGGTATCAAATTTTTGGAAACCTCAGCAAAAGCAAACATAAACATAGATTTAGCTTTTGAACAATTAGCAGAAGCTATTTTGGATAAAATGGCTGGAAAAGAACAAGGGGAAGCAACGGACAGAATACCATTGTCTCAACGTCAGGACCGAGGGAGCAATCGATGCTGTTAGACGACCATTTTTCATTTTTTTTAAACTTGGAGAGAGAAAAAAAAAGTGAAAGAAAAAGGATAAACGAGTGTCGTAATGGAATGATTATTGAGAGAGAGAGAGAAAGAGAGAGAAAGAGAGAAAAACGAAAAAAAAAAAAAAAAAACAAAATTGCCCTCCTAATACAGTATGATGTAAGGTAAACCTCAATAGCAGCAAATTCATTCAGTCATTCATTCATTCATTCATTCATTCATTAATTACAAAGAGATTTACCTCGGGTAGTTTTTTTTTCTTTTTGTTCTTTTTTGTTCTTTATACATATATACATAAACATATACATATACATAAATAATTGTAGTAGCACTGTCCAACAGACAAAAAAAAAAAAAAAAAAAAAAAAAAAAAAACAGTAAACGAATAATCGAATTTTTTGTAAAACTTTTATTTTCGGCCGTCATAATTTTTATTATTATTATTATTATTATTATTATTATTATTTTATAATTTTCTGTTTGTTTGTTTGTTTGTTTGTCGACGGTTTATTACCGGCCTCATATACGCTTGTGATTATTATATAAATTTTTAAAAAAAAAAAAAAAAAAAAAGGAAGAAAAACGCAACATTGTATAAAATCGTATTTAATTAATTTATCAATGAAGAAACGCATTGTTATTATTATTATTATCATTATCATTATTATTATTATTTCAAATGCATTAATTATAAAAAATTAACACTGCATTAAAAATCCCACGCATGGAAATTTTTTTTGTTAAAGACTCAAAAAAAAAGGAAAAAAAAGAAAAGAAAATTCAAAAAATTTACCATTTTAATACGCTGTATTCATCATTTAATTATTATTATTATTATTATTATTATTATTATTATTATTATTATTATTATTATTATTATTATTATTATTATTATTATCGTTCGCTTTTTTTTTTTTTTTTTTTTTTTAAATAAGCTTAAATAAATTTGAAATATTTTGTAAGGTAGCGCATATCATATATCGTGAAAACGAATAAAAATAATAATAATAATAATAAAAGACACAAAACGATGACGACGACGACGATGACGTCATAAACGTCGAAATTAATAATAATAATAATAAAATATAATGCCACAATAGTTTTAAGACGAGTTTTGTATGATTTCTTATATAATATATTTATATATATATAATATTGTAAATTCGAGCCTTAATTTAATATCTAAGGAAGGGAGTCGTCGATTTATTGGGGGGGGGGGAAGGGAGGGGGAATTTATGCGAATTAATAAAATGTATGTTTTGTAGTTGCTGTACGGTTTGCTTAAAAAGAAATTATTTAAAGGGGGGTGGGTGGGGGGAAGGGGGGAAATTGAAATAATTAATACTCACAAGAGCTTGACACAAGATGGAAAATTTTTGTTTTTTTTTTTTTTTTTGGTTGTCGGTGCCAAAAAGGCTCAAAATTCGAATTTTCACCACGATTTAAGTTACCAAAAAGGTTTTTATGTAAGAAATTTGACTGAAATTATTATTATCATTATCATTATTATTATTATTATTATTATTATTTTAATCGTTTTTTAATAATTTAGGAAATTTTAAATCGTTGTGGAAAATTTTTTTCATCCTGATTTTCTTTTTTTTTTTTTTTTCGTCTAATTTTTACCCCTGGAAAATTTTGAATAACGAATTAATTAAAAATTATTTTAAATTGTAATTTAAATTTAAATTTAAATTTAAATTTATGTGCTTATGGTTGTGGTTTCGATTTAAATAATTTAATGGAGCGTGTGCGCGTGTGTGCTTTGTAAAAAAAATTATTATTATTATTATTGTACGATTATTTTTTTTTCTGGGGGAGGGAGGGAGGGAGGGGGTCGATAAAACTGATTTGGAGGGTTTTTTTAATGTAATTCTTTTTTTCTCTCTCTCTCTCTCTCTCTCTCTCTCTCTCCTTTCTTTCTTTCAAAGTGCATAAATTTCATCAAAAGGATTATTATTATTATTATTTTATACAGAAACAGTGCACATTAGATACATAATAACATAATTTATTATTATTATTATTATTAATTTCGCCAATAATTTTAGTTGTTTTTTTATATAAATGAATAAATGTCTGAAATATTTTTGTTATGCTTTTTAAATTCAGTATTTTATATATAATTTTTTTTTTTTAAATTAAAATTAAATTAAAATTAAATTATAATAATTAATTTTTTTTTAATTTTTTAATTAATGCTGTATATGCGCACATTCATTTAATTTTTTTTTTTTTTTATATTAAATCTGTGAAAAAATGTAAGTTAAAAATTTTAAAATAAAAAATTTTTTAATTATTATTTTAATTAACGTTAATATAATAATATTATTATTATTTGAATATTATAATTTTCATAATGAATGAATGAATGAATGAATGAATGAAAACGTTATATATTTCTCGCGATTGATTGATTGATTGATTGATTTAAACAAAGAAAAATATGCTTTTTGTATAAAATAATTTTATAAAATATGTTTTGCCATATCTAAAGTTTAAAACAATTTATTAATAATAATAATAATAATGAAATCCATGTCGTTTAATATAATAATAATAATGATAATAAAAAAAATTTTCCTTTTTTTTTTGCGTAATTTCATATTAGTGACGTCACGAGTAAAATTTTTAAAAAACTCGTTTCACCGTTAACCGTTTTTTTTGCTGAAAAGTTAACGAAACACGTTACACAAACAATTTTTTTTATAAAAAGATTGGAAAGTTATATGTTTAGCGTATAATTAATAATATTTTTCTTATGATTAAAAATTAGAAAACTCGCTTAAATTAAAATTCATATTATTAACATTCGAAATATGTCAGTTACGATTGGAAAATGGTGGTGGTTGTGGTGGTAAAAATATTATTACGAGTTATAAAAATTTATTAATTTTTCGTTTCGTTAAAAAATTTATTTAAATAATTACATTGAAGCTACAAAAACTTTGAATTTGATTTTTTTTTAAAAGTTAATCGTGTAAATTTGCAAATTATATTATTCAGTTTTATTATAAATGAGAAAATTTGGCAACATCGCTCAAGGTCGATCCGTGAAAAATGATTTGTTCAACTGTTTATATATATATATGTATATAAATTCGTTTGAATTTATTTGTTGAAAAAAAAAATTTTTAACAAAAGGAAGTGTAATCGTATCGTGATGATTTATACCGATTTTAATTCGACGTGATAATATTTTTTATTAATTTTACGATAGGAAATTTTTTAATTTGTTTAATCGATTAATAAATAAGTAAAAATGAGTTCAAAAAATTTAAGTATGTTTTCTTATGAAACTTTAGTTCATGCTATTTCAGGTTCTGCGGTAAGTTTGCATTTTTATTAAAATATTATTATTATTATAATAATTGCTACTTGTTTAACGATAAAGATGACACGATTTTTTACAAAAAATTAAAAACTTTTTTAAAAAATCAATAATAATTTCAGGGAAGTGTTTTTGCTATGACAGTTTTTTACCCCTTGGACACCATCAGATCAAGACTTCAAAGTAAGTTTCTGTTAAAAAAAAAAACATATAATTTTTTGATTTTGCAAAAAATGTACATGTAAACAAATATATTTCTTTAAATTTACAAATTATTATAAATTTAAATGTAAAACTTGACTGATAATATCAAATTTTATAATTAGTCGAGCCTTGAGCTCCTTTAAAAAATTAAATTTTTTTTTTTTTGTAATATTTACATTTATTTGTCAATTTCAATTTTCTTTTTTTTTGTGTGTACTTAATAATAGTATTATGTAATTATAAATTAATGTTAATAACCTTGGCCTTATGCAAACAATTTTTTTTTTTTTTTGTCATGTCATTGACATAAAAAAAAAATTTTTTTTTTTTTTTCCAGTCGAAGATCGAGAATCTAAAAGTACATTATCTGTGTTATTAGAATTAGCCAAAGAAGAAGGAATGTAAGGATTAATGATAATTCATTCGCAAATATTTAATTGTAATTGTAAATCATATTTCCACTTGAAATTTTAATCTTCATTTAATTAAATATAATTACTTTTAGTGAAACTTTATATAGAGGTATAATTCCTGTCCTGAAAAGTTTATGCGCTTCAAATTTTATTTATTTCTATACATTCCACGGTTTAAAACAGTTAAATGGAGGAAAAAATGGTCAAAATGCGACTAAAGATTTACTTATAGCAGCTCTTGCCGGTGTTGTTAACGTTTTAACAACCACTCCACTTTGGGTCGTTAATACAAGACTAAAAATGAAAGGGATTAAAAATCATAAACAAAATAATTATGATGGATTATTAGGTTAATTTTTTTTTTTATTAAATGTATTTTTTTAATTCGTTTTAAACTTTCATGACTGACTCTCAGTTGTAAATTATTAATTATTTCAGATGGATTATTAAAAATAAAAAAAGAAGAAGGGATAAAAGCACTTTGGAATGGCACAATTCCATCATTGTTTCTCGTCGCCAATCCCACAATTCAATTTGTCATATATGAAGCTGTGAAAAGAGAACTTCATAAAATTTATCCGGAAAAAAAATTTGGTGCTTTTATATTTTTCCTTATTGGAGCTTTTTCAAAAGCTGTCGCTACTGTCATGACTTATCCCATTCAATTACTACAAACCAAATTAAGAGTAAGTTAAGAGTTATTTATTTCATACTTGACATGCAATGTTAACTAATTATAATTAATCCATAATTCTCATTGTTAAATAATTTTGTTTTTTTTTTTTTGTGTTAGCATGGACATACTTATCAGGATTTGCGAAAAAATGCGGGAATGAATGAAGTGGCGGCATATATTTTAAGGTAAGTCTTATTTAAATATTTAACTTTTTATTGTTTTATTGAAATATTTTTAAAAAAAGTTTATCTTTTTTTTTTTCTGTTTGAAGAAAATATGGCTTAAGTGGATTATTTAAAGGCATGGAAGTTAAAATACTTCAAACAGTACTTACTGCGGCTTTAATGTTTACCACATATGAAAAAATTACACAGTTTGTATTTCATTTAATGAAAACTAAATAAAAATAATAAAAATTAAAACTTTTCTATTTTTTGAAAATAATTTTCCACATATAATTAATTCATTTTGGAATTTTTCGAAAAACTATTTGCATTTTTAAGCTATGCCATTATTGCTTTTCACCTAATATGAGAAAACGAGATAGAAAATTGAAATTTTTTTTTTTTTGGTCAGACCTCACCAATAAAAATAAGTGGGATTAAGTAAATAAGTATATCATTCATTATTAAATGGTTGTGTATTTTTTTTTTTGTCTTACAAAAACAATAAGAAACCTATTTTTTATAGCCGCAACTTTTCCTTCTTCCACGAGCCCTTTCAAATTTTCGTCCCTTAGAACGAACGTAAGGCTTAGCGTGACTGCGAGGAACACCAGGAGCTCTTCCAAAGTGTTTGACAGCTTCTCTGGCATTTCTGGGACCTGATACCATAAAAATAACAATTAAAATTTTAACGATAAGGTTATTCATTAAACAATAACTCAGGTTTCGAAACAAAAAAAGGAATAAATTTGTTTTAGTATTATAAGTTTTTGCTAAGCAGTAATATTTTAATAGGGAACCCGTAAAATCTAGTTAATAATATTATAAATATTAAAATTACCTTGCATTAAAACTGTGTTTTTTCCTAATGGAGATTTTAATGCCAATTGGTCAAATGTCATAATTTTTCCTCCATTTTCTAAAACTCTAGCTCTTGCTCTTTCAGTAACTCTCAATGCACATATCTGGTAAAAAATTTTCACAAAATAAATATAACAGATTTCTAAATCTATAAACAAATATAACTTTGATTGATAAATAAAAAAAAATATAAATTCTTACAACGAGGTTTTTGGGTATTTTATAAATTCTCTGATCGTCTGTGACAGTGCCAACAATAACGGCTATTCTTCCTAGTCGTCCAGGTTTTTTCATGAACCTCGTTACTCTGGCCAAAGATATGGGAGGTCTGTTAATTCTTGACATAAACAATCTTCTCAATATTATTTTGTTGAACTTGGCCTTAGTTCTTCTGGCCAAAAGTCTGTACAACTACAGTAAAAAAAATAAAAATAAATAAGCACGTATTTTTTAAATTTATATAAAACATAATTATTAATCGAACAAATGTAATTTTATTGTCGATTTTAAATTTCTCGTGTCACACTAAATTTTGCAACAATAAATATATAAGCAACGTCGTGTAAAATAACTTACTAACCTTTACTAACAAACGGAGATACACATCTTGTGATTTAGGTTCCGTTCTTCGGACCTTTCGGTCATATTTATGGTTAATATCAATACCCTAAATTAAATAAAAACGCACGATTAAAACAATATATAAAAATTTGTAATGAGGTGAAGTTTTACAAAGTTTTAAAAGTGAATTTGAATATTTGATGGGTTGGATAAAAAATTTGGAAAAAATTTTACATTACACTCACCATTTTGATCCACCTTGAAGAATTGATACTTACACGGTTCTTCTTATTGCCAACCTAAATTTTAATATTTTGTCAAAAAATAACATATAATATTTTTTTAAAACTAGAACAAAATAATAAGTTATCAAAGAATTTTGCACGTAATTTACAAATATTAAGCGATATTTTTAATAAAAAATTAAAAAGTTAATCATAAGTTTTAAATTAATCCGATTTTAAATTGAGGGCCCACGACATGCAGGGAAATTTTTAAGTAAAATACTGTTTAAATTGCAAATGGCTGTTTTTTATCAAAGCATTTTCTGGTTACGTGTGAAATCACAGTATATTAAAACATTTTTTTAAATTTTGACTACTTGTATAAGTATTCATTATTTACATTACTTATAAATATTTTCAACTGTCGTTAAGTTAACGTTTAATATCATTGCTAAAGAAATGCTTCGGAGATTTTGCAATGAAACCGCGCGTTGTAGAAGTTGTCATTAATGCTGTTGTTTGTACCTCAAAATTAATAGCGGGTTTTTAAATTGTGTTTGTAAATATCTATTAATATGAAAATGCCTGCTTCGGGAGGAGATCCAGTCAGTGCTACGTTAAGGTTAGCTTTTTCGCCTGGCTCAAAGAACGGAGATCTTGACTGCGGAATTGAAACATCTGCAAAACGTGCTTTGCTTACTCGAATAGAATTCGAACCGGCAAACAATTATCAATCATCGGTTTTAAACACACTTAAGTCTAAGTATATTGTAGTGAATACAAAGCCTGTTTCGAACAATAATAAAACTGTTAATGGAGCTAATGTAAACAATAAAAAAGCAAATAATATTACATTACCAGTGCCAAAATTTACGTTGTTCCCTCCCGAGAGAGTTCAACTTGGTTATCGTGGAAATATGTCCGTTGGTTCAGGAATGTCAAATATGGGCAATACTTGTTACCTTAATTCTACCTTACAAGCTCTGTTTCATGTTCCTGCTCTAGTCAACTGGCTTTTAAGTGAAACATCTCATCAAAATTGTGTACAAAATAGTGATTATCAAATGCACCCCGATGATATCACTTGTTCTGTCATTAAAACACTCAAGTGTTCTCAACAAAAAACTGGAAATTGCATGAAGCCCATAAGTGTTTATTCTAAATTAAAAGGTAAAAAAAAAACATGAAATATTTTGTTATAAATGAATGTCAGAAAACCAAGTTAAATATTATTTTTAATAAAATTAGATATCTGTGACGGTAAAAGGTTTAATTACAATCATGTTTATAAACTTGACGAAATTTTTATTATGTACAGATTATTCATAAATTTATACTTATGGTTTTCAGCAATATGTAAACATCTCAGTCATGGGTCACAAGAAGATGCGCATGAATTCATGAGGTATTTACTAGAAAGTTTGGAGAAAAATTATTTAACTAGGTTTCAAGGTCACAAGTTAGATAGTACTTCAAAAGAGACTACACCTATAAATCAAATATTTGGCGGATACATCAGGACAGAAGGTTTTTACTTATTTTTAATCGATAATGATTAAGTTTTAATTTATTTGTAAGCCCTACATCTGGAAATTTTTTGTATTTTTAGTTGTGTGTTTGTCATGTCGAGCTGTTTCAACAACTTTCCAACATTTCCAAGACTTGCCATTGGACATAAGAAAAGCATCAACGCTTAATGATGCTTTGGCAGGTTATTTTGAAAGAGAAAGACTGCCTGATGGTGAGGATGCTTATAATTGTGAAAAATGTAATAGAAAAGTTTCTGTGTATAAAAAATTTACCATAGAAAAACCACCAAATGTTCTCTGTGTTCAGCTTAAAAGGTTCATATCACAAATTAAAAATATTTTATTTACTTTTTTTTTATGGAAAATTACATATGAAGTTTTTTTATTCGCTTAGGTTTAGTATGACTAATGGTAAAATTACAAAACAAGTTCAACTGCCGCAGTATCTTGATATAACAAGGTTTATTAGTACTAGTATTCATCCCAGGCATCCTGTTAAATACAAGTTGGTATCAATGATTACTCACATGGGGCAATCTGTAAATTGTGGCCATTACACTGCTATTGCTCTTGCAGCAAATGGGTCTTATTACCAATTTGATGATAGTTCTGTGAGTTTTACATTAATTCATTAATTAATTTTTATAAATTTGTGGAAACTTTTGATCCTATTGATATTTATAAAGTAATTATTTTATATTCATTTAGGTAAGGCAAATTCCTTTAAGCACTGTCCTTAGCATGAGTGCTTATTTAATTTTGTACGAAATGGAAAGACCTTTTCAAACAGTAAATCCGAGACCCTTCACATCTATTTCCTCCACAGTTTGGAATGGGAATTTTAACTGTGGAGAAGAAGAAGAACCATGGCCTCAAACTGATTCTAATCCAGTTTCGAATTTTTCAAATGAAATTAAAAACAAAAGGTAAAAAAGAATTTTTTTTTTTTTTTTTTTTTTTTTTTTTTTTTTTTTTGGGTCCTAGCTTCCAAAAAATTTGGAATTCATTTTGTTGTGTAAATTTTTCCCCCCCCCCCCCTTTAAATTTCGTAACTATTTCTTGTCTGAATGCGATTTGTAGAAGTCTAAATAAAAAATTACAATCCTGATTTAGTGATTAAATAATAAGAGGACATATTTAAAATTATCATATTTTTGGGGAGATGAATAATTTTAGATGTGATAATTACTGTAAACTGAAATATGCTTTTTTCAGGGAGGGGGCCAATTCACAGTCGCGCATGGTTTATCAACTAAACAAGCACGGCAATATATACGCCCCTCCCACCTACCCCACCCGAGAGACATCGTCATCGAACCACCAACTTCACTCGAAAAAGGGAAATAGAAATTGTATTGAATCGAATCCGAAACGAACTAGTAGTAGTAGTAGTAGTAGCTTAGTTCCCTATGAGTCTGACGTGTCGACAGATTCAGATGTGGAAAACAAAGAGAGAAGTGAATTAGAGAAACTCCTAACAAAATTATCATCTTCTTCGTCGTCATCACCGGCGAAAGGATGGAAAATAACGGAACTGGATAGTTCACTAGCTAGAAGTTCGAAATCGTGTACTACCAAATGGGACGTGACGGAAGTGAAAATGCCTAAAAAAGTCGTTCGGAATTTAAGCGATACCGAACTCAATGGCAAAAAGAAAAAACAATTGAGAGGAGCGTCCGGTAGTGATTCGGAATTAGATAAAATAAGTAGAAAAATAAACGAGGATGGAAAAAAAAGGACTTCGATAATAGAAAAATTCAAAACGAATTTTGGTAATGGCAACATGTCGAACGGCGATGACATTGACACCACGCAAATACAGAAAGACAAATCCAAACAAACAAAGAAAGAAAATGAAAAAATGTAAGTGGATATGAAAATAAAGTGGACGGTGGATCGGTGACTATGATTTTCATACTCACACACATATATATCTATTGATATCGTTCGAATGGTTCAAATATGTATTAATATTATTATTATTATTATTAGTATTTATCCTATTGGGCAACTAACAAATCAGACAAAAAAAAAAAAAAATTAACAAAGTTAATTAATTAATTATTGTGTAAATAATTTATGTTTAAAAGCCCCCCCTCCCCCCCAAAAAAAAAAAAAGAAAAAGGTTTTGCATGAAAAAATATTCAATGACACGTGCGTGTCAATAACTAAATTACACGCGTGTTTATATTATTATTATTATTATTTTTTTTTTCGTATGTAAATTATTTGTTCTCCTATAGGAAAAATTTTACCGATAAGGGGTAGCGTAAGGGAGAATTTTTTTTTTTATGTTGATTAAACTACCCACCAGTCAGGGAATGGAAAAATTATTATTATCATCATTATTATTAATAAATTTCCCACCCTGATTAATTAATTATTTAATTGATATAAAATCAAGGATGAGAAGAAATTATCATTAATAAAAAATTACATTTGTGTGTACATTTTCTCGTTGATATATCTCTCTCTGAAAAACTAAAACAATAACACATGTAAATAAATTTTTATTTTTTGTTTTATGTCGACATTAAATTTCCTTCAGGGTTGACAGGGTTGTTGTTAGAAAAAAAAAAAAAAAAAAAAAAAAAAAGTTTTTAAAAAAGGGTTTTAATAAATAAAATATTGATTTGTTTTTTTTTTTTTTTTTTCTGTTTGTTTGTTTTCATTTAAGGTCTCCGGAGGATGGTCGTTGTAGAATAGAATCATCATCGGATGATAATAAATTAACGTCGAAAACGATAAATTTTGACAAAAATTTGATTTCGATACACGGAACGAACGGTTTCAACAATAATAATAATAATAATAACGAATTGAGAAATGACGTCAAAATCTCCGATGAAAATCACATAAATAATAATAATAATAGTAAAGGAAGTGAAAAATACGAGAGTGGTAGTGGTAGTGGTAGTGGTAGAGTAGCGTCGTCATCATCTCCACGTCGTGGGGATTCAGAAGATTTGATGAAAAAGAAAAATGTCGTTAATACTCTTCTTCAAAGTTCACATTGGGGCTACGGGAATTCAAATGGTAAAAATTTTTTAAATTCACCGGAAAAAAATTTAATTTTCAATTTGACGGTTATGCAGTAACGGTTTTTTTTTTTTTTTTTAAGTTAAATCATGGAACGGAACGCAAAGTTCACTCGAACGTGAAATAATGGATGAAAAATGTGAAAGTACAAAAAGGACTTATAGTGATCTCTATAATGAAGATTTCGATAGAGGAAAGGTAGACGAATTTTTTTAATTTTAAATCTTTATCATTTATTTGAGAATCATTATTAAATTTTTTCTTTATTTTCCCAGTTGAAAAAATTAAAAACTCACGACGACAGAGATCGACCGCGTTATAATAATTTATTTCAAAAAAAACAACAAAATTATCAGGAAAAAATGATGAATTATTATCATTGGAGGGGAAACAATAGAAATCACAGACGATACGGAAACGATTTTCAAAACTCGTTCAAAAGACAACATTTTAAAAGTCAATTCAATTCAAATAATTATAATTCAAATAAAAATTATAAATTTTTCAAAGTGCCGAGATCGGGTCGGAAAAGTCTCGGAGTCACAAAATATTTTCCAAGTCTTCTCGGTAATAAGAAATCCGGTCCAAAGAAAAATCATTCTTCGGGATGAAAAAAATGTATGTACGCGTTCAAATGATGATGGCACAGAGAGAGTTTTGCAAAGAAAGAAAGAAAATAATAATTTTGTTTTCGTCTCACGAACAATAATAATTTACAAATAATTTGATTTTTTTTGTTGGTTCGACGTATGATTTGTTTTTAAAATGCGATAAAATTAACTTGGCCAAGTGTTAATTCATACATTTTTTTTTTTTTTTTTTAGACTATAGCCAAGTTTATTCATTTTATAGTTTTAATTATGCCGAATGAATCAAATTTTATTTTGTCAGAAAAAAAAAAAAAAAAGTTGTAAAGTTCTTTTTAATCAAAAAAATATATAATCGATTCGCTTTACTGTTATTTATTATCATTTTTAATTCTTCCATATTAAATGTAGGGGGAAGAAAAAGAAAAAGTTTACGTCCATGGTCAAATGGTTAAAATGTTTTATATCCACGTCGTATTTCTTCTGCCACGATCATTAACCTCAGTTGGTTGTCACTGGTGTTTGCAACCAGTAAATGATATATATTGTAATAATTTTTTAAAAAAAATGGCAGAATTCGATTTAACTGGTAAAATTGGACAATATTTAGACAGGCATTTAGTTTTTCCATTGTTGGAATTTCTATCTGTGAAGGGGGTACGTATAATTTAATAAAAATATTATTAGTTTTATGTAGCCGTTCACATATTTTAAATTTGAAAACTTGTTATTTGTAAAAATTTGTTTAAAATAGGTATAATTATATGTATTAATACGCTTTATATTTTTATTTTGTTTAAAATAATATGTTAAAATCAAAACAATATCTATGAATTAGTATTTTTGTGTATTGTCTTTTTTTAAAATGTGGCCGACTGAAACCTGTATGCAGTTAATGAAAAAGTTTGTACCGAAAAAATTTTTTAAAGTTGCTCGTAAAATACCCAAAAACGATGAGGTTTTTTTTTTTTCTTTCTGAATATAAACAAAAATAAATTAATATGTTTTGTTTTTCTTAAATAGATATACGACAAAAATGAATTACTTCAAGTAAAACTTGATATTTTGAATAAGACTAATATGTTGGATTATGCAATCGATATTAGAAGATTGTTATATCCATCAGAAGAACCTGAATCGTTAAAAGCAAGAAGAAATGTGGTAGTTCAAACTTTGCAGGAATTGCAAAATGAAGCATCAGTAGTTGTGAGAATAATGTCAGATGAAAACACGAGAAAGCAAATGGAAACAATGAGAGATTCGAAAACTTTAGTTAGCTATTTGCAAACTCAATTTGATGTAAGATTTATATTCATTAAAGTATGTTGCGATTAACCTAAAACTAAAATTAATTCTAATTCTTTATTTTTAAATTAGTTCAAGCTTGAAATGATGGATGTAACCTATAGATTGGCCAAATACAGATATGAATGTGGAAATTATTCCAATTCCACCAGTTATTTATACTTCTACATGTTGGTTATGCCTCCAACTGATAAAAATTATTTAAATGTTATGTGGGGAAAGCTTGCCTCTGAAATTTTATTACAAAATTGGGATACAGCTTTAGAGGTAACTAGATTCTTTTTTTTCTTTTTAATTCGAGAAAAATTTAAGTAATTTAATTTTGTTTTGTATTTATTGTTTTTTAGGATTTAAACAAGCTCAGGGATTTTATCGATGGAAACAATTTCAGTTCTTTACAGTTATTACAACAGAGGACATGGTTAATTCATTGGAGTCTTTTTGTTTTCTTTAATCATCCGAAAGGTAGAGATAACATTATCGACATGTTTCTTTATCGAGCACAGTAAGTATTTTAAAAATTATTTAAACATTTTTTATTTTTTTATAAAAACTTAACGTTACTTCATCGAAAAATTTTTCTTTCAGTTATTTGAATGCTATTCAAACCATGTGCCCTCACATTTTGAGATATTTGGCTACAGCTGTTGTAATTAACAGATCTAGAAGAAGTTCTCTTAAAGATCTTGTTAAAGTAATTCAGCAAGAATCTTACACTTACAGAGATCCCATTACTGAATTCATTGAACATTTATATGTCAATTTTGATTTCGATGGAGCCAGGCAAAAACTCCACGAATGCCATACAGTTTTATTTAATGATTTCTTTCTAATAGCTTGTCTGGAAGAATTTGTTGAAAATGCCAGACTTATGATTTTTGAAACTTTTTGTAGAATACATCAGTGTATCAGTATTGGGTTAGTAAAATTAAATTTAATCGATTAATTTAGAAATTATAAAATTATCTGTATTTGTAATGATTGTTTTTTTTTTGTGTAGAATGCTGGCACAAAAGCTTAATATGAATCCAGATGAGGCTGAATGTTGGATTGTTAACTTGATTCGTAATGCACGCCTCGATGCAAAAATTGACTCCAAATTGGGACATGTGGTTATGGGCACACAACCTGCCTCACCTTATCAACAACTCGTTGAAAAAATTGACAGTTTGTCTGTGAGGTCTGAGGCTTTACTAAATTTAATAGAAAGAAAAGTGAAAGCGAAACAAGAAAGTCGTTGGGGAGCTCAAGATTTTTATTAAATTTTGTAAAAAATATTGGAATTTTTTAAAAATAAAAAAAATTATCCTACTTTAAGGCTTTTTTATAAGTATTGTTTTAGACAGCATGTTTTTAACAATCAGTATCATTTCGTATTTTTACTCAAAATTTCCTTTTTTTAAACTGTTAGTTATAAAAAGAAATCCAAAATAAAAGAAAAAAATCAACTACTGTATTCTTTTTTACATTTAAAATGAAATATTTTATTTAAACAAGTAAAATTAATAAATTTTGAGAATTTCCGCCATTTTGACTTCTAGTTTTAAACTATAAATTACAAAGTCAATTTACGTGAAGTATTTATTTTTATTACTATTCTAGTTAAATATTATTAACAAAAATAATTTTGCATTAAAATATTTTTTTAGAAATAATGAGTTTTGAGACCGAAATAGGTTTTTTTTTTTAAATAAAATTTTGTATGTCGAAAGATGACTTGTAACAAAAATGGCGGCAAAACTTGATAGGATATTTTAAATGTGAAGAAAATAAACAAATTACCAGCCTTTAAATCAAGTATAATTAATATTACTACAATTAAAATGAATGATATTAAACAAAATCTTCGTCAACATAATTTTCCGCTTTGTTCTAGGGAAGCTTTATCAATTATTGGTAAAAATTTATTATTATTATTTTTAGAAGTTTAATGTAAATAAAAGAATTGTCAATTATTATTTTTTCATTAAATGTATTTTTAAGGTCAATTAACAGTTAATCACAATGCTGGAAGGACAGTAACATCTAAATATTTAGAATTGACTAGTGAAATTATTTCAGAATTTATATTTTGTGAAGGATTTTCAGATGGAAAGCAAAATTCATCAAATAACAGAGTATTGGTTTTAAAATAATTCTGTTTAAAAATTTCTATTTGTCTATTTATGTGTTTTCTTATTTACAACCGAATTTTTATTTGTTTTTTTAGTTAAAAAAATTAACATGCATACAAGAATTACAATTACTTGAAGTGTTATGTGACTATTTTTCATATCCAGGAGGAAGTGATGCAGTTCATAATACAGTATTTATGAATCTTTTTCCCGACTCACACAGAGAAAGATCAAGATTATTAGTGAAGTTAGTTTCAATTTCTATTTCGACACAGTCAAAACAAGTTTTATCTGCTGCTGGAATTTGGATGCAGCAATTGGGCTGTACATCCAGCTACAGTTTAGAATTGGCAAAAGGCCTAGTTAATGATTATTTTGTGTTGGTACCTAAAGCAGTAGAAAGATTACAGGATTTACCTAAAATAGCTCCTCAGTTTACATCTAATTTTATAACTGCTGTTGCTGAACTTTATTCAGTTACAGGTATTGAAATAAAATTGACAAATAATATTATTATTATAATAAAAAACTTTTATTTAAAATGTAATAATGTTTTCAGATGACAAAGAAAATTTACCTCCGGATTCACTTCTAGAAGTCGTAACCGATTGGATATCTAAAAATACAAAATTATGCACTACATCTCTTTATTTTCCAGAACCGGCTCTTCCTCAAGGAGGAATACCCATGCCTCCCATAACACCCTTTGCTGGTCTTTTCAAGTAAAACTATTTATCTTTATTTAAAATTACAAATTTACATGCAGATTATTTAATTGGTCTTTGATTTTCAGGTGGTGTGTTCTAGCTCCATTGTTTTTTCCTAATTGTTCTAAATTATATTCAAAACTTCATTTAGCTTTGTTGGAAAGCTTATTAGATACAAATTTTCCAATTGAAAATGTCATTTGTGCACAACATTTAGCTTCAATTGTGAAACCAATTTTGAAATTGTCGGAAGGAAAAAATCAAAGTTTAATACAATTATCGTTAGATCGATTAGCTCAAGCAATACAAGTAATAATGACTGCTAAATGTATTTATGGAAAAAAAGGTAAAAATTTTTAAGACCACTAAAATGTTTGGTTACTTATTTATAAAAAATTTTTTGAAAATGTAAAATTTACTTTACAAATGTTGAATTTGTTTTTTTGTTTTTTTTTTACAGAAGAATTATTCAAGTTATTAGATACGCTGCCAGAAAACAGATTATTGCTTCTTGTCATAAGTAAACATCGAACATTATAATAAAAGTAATTTTTTTTATATTACATAATTAAATCTATTAATTATAAAATCTCCAGCATACAGAAAAATTTAATTTTAAAACATGGGACACATTCTATCATTTTTATATTTATTGTTGAAGTTTATTTCGAATGAGATTCGAAAGCACAAATGTTGCTATTAAAAAATTTCATGTGACAAAAATTGTAATTTTAGATAAAAAAAATTTATTAAAATTTATTATATTTTTATAAAAGTCAAAATGTAATAACATTAAAAAGGTTTAAAACGACGAGCCTCTTTCATAGCAGCTATTTTTCTTTTATCTTCTTCAAATTTTTTTCTCAGAGCTACTAAATCTAAAATAAAAATAAAAATAAAAAATAAAAATTAGACATTTCAAAACGAATCAATTGTATTAATAATTTGTGGGTCACTACATATTGAAAAACCAAATTCTTACTTTTCATTTTTGATTCTTTTATTTGAAATGTATAAAAATTTGTCAATTCTTTTTTTCTTCTTTGTTGTTCGCTTCTTCTTCTTAAATGCTTAGCCACGGATTCTTTTCTCGCAAAACCTGGCTTTTTCCCTCTAAAAAAGCAGAAGAAAATTACTTATAAAAAAATGATTAAAAATTTAAATTATTTGACCATTTTTATACCTTCTAGTCACTGTAACCCATCCATCTTCCTGCTGCTGTGATAATGCTTTTTCTTCTTCATCTTTTTTAATCATTTCAGCATCATATGTATCCATGAAAACTTTTATTTCTTCTTCCAG